GAATATTTTATTAAAAATTATAGTGATGCATATATGTTTTAAAAGTAACATAATCAATTAAAAAGTTCCATAAATACTGATATTTATACATAGTAAATAAATAATTAAAAGAGATGTTAGGGATAATTTGAAAATTTAAACATATAAGTATATGATGATAATTTAAATATTCAAATATTGAAGGATAGCGTGATATTTAAAAATTTTTATCAGAGTTAAATAGTAAATCAAAAAATTTTCATGCTAAGACAAAAGTTTCATTCTTTATTAGCAGTATAGATGGAAAAAAAATACATATATATAGTCATAATGTTACATATATATTTGAAAAAAGTATGATTTATTGATGAAATTTTTGAACACTTTATTGAAAACTATAATGATGCATATATTTTTTAAGAGTAACATAGTCAATTAATTTTTTTTATAGATATTGATATTTATACAAAGATAATAGAGAAGTAAAAAAAATGTTAGAGGATAAATTAGAGATTTAAATACATAAGGACATAATTATAATTTAGATATTTAACTATGAAAAGATAATATGATAATTAAAATTCTTTATAATGGTAAAATAGAGAATCAAAATTTTTTCACTTAAAGTACTTTTATTAGTAGTATATATATATATAGATTAGGCGATCGAAATACTTAAATAATTAATCACAATCAAATATAAATTTTAAATCGTGTGTCAACGACAAGCGAGCCAATTTTTTAATTTGCAGTCCTATACTTTCTTATATGGTATATGTCCATTTTCAATTTGTTACTTAGTAAAATCACTAGTAATTAAAAAAAAATCTTAAATTTGATTGGATATTTACTGCTAAAAAACAACTAAATTGGATGTCTTTAATGCTTATATAATACTAGCAATACCTTTGTGTCTTAAAGACACTATACGATATCAAAAATCGAACTATCTTACAATATTTGTATTTTAAATAATATTTTTAATTTTTTTAATTACGTAATTTAAAATTAAAATTAAGAGAGAGGTAGATGTGGATAGATGAAATTGTGTTGACATTAGAAAGTGTGTTGATTGAGTTGTTAGATATTGAAATTGTGTAGAGAAGTTGATAATTTTGGGTAAAAAAAAAAATTTGAAATGAATTTTATACCATTTGAACAAAATAGATAAATATTGAATTAATCTTGATCGTTATTATATTTTTACAAGTTAAGAATTTAATTCATTGACCCCAATATTAGATAGATGATTTGTGTGATTGGGCCCATGATGGCGTCTTATTGAATTTAAGTTGTGCCGTAACGATAATAAAAATATATCGATTTAGTTTCCATTCGTAATTGATCATATGAGTAGCTCATCCTTAATGGAATGTGAAGGAGTTCAGTTTAGAATCTCTCCATTTGTTTGATTTGTATTTCAAAAAATAATTTTTCAGAAGAATTTTACGAAAGTGTTTTTAAAAATTTTTAGATTGCAAAGCATATTGGGTTATATATTTTTAAGAATAAAAAATTATAAAATATGCTTGCACAATAACCCATAAAACTCACAATTTTTATCAATATTTTTCTTTCCCCTCTCTTTGTCTTCACAAAACCCACACATACATGCACACACAAACATAAACACACACACACACACAAATGTGTGCGTGTGTCTTGAACCCAGACATAGATTTAGATCTACACAATAGGTGCTTCTGATATATGTAGATCTAAACTTTAGTTGTTGCAAGAGAGAGAGAAAAGAGACGCAAATGCAAAGAAAAAAAAAGACACTGGAAATGAGATGGAACCCAAATCGTTGCGTAGCGCCGTTGAATCCAGATTGTTGCACAGTGTCTTGAATCCAAATCATTGCAGAGACAGAGGATATGGAGAAAACATAAAGTGAAGGATTTTTATACTTCAACGAAAAAAAATACATTTTGCTGATTAGGAAGTTTAATGGGTGATCTTCATTAAAGATGAGGGGTTGTTTCCCTTATTTTCTATTTTATCCTGAAAACTCAAAAAACATGACTGACTTGTTTTCTATTTTTTTGCTCCAAATTTCATCTTTTTTTTTTTTCAAATTTTTGAGAACAAAAATGCTAAGCAAACAAATTTTTGGTGTTTTTAAAATTTTGAAAACAAAAAATACTTTTTTGGAACAAAGCTAAACACGGCTTCTATCTCTGATCATGATTTGATTGAAAGTGGAATTAGACTGGTATGAATCTGGATAGGTATGGTGTGTCACCTCACTCTTACAAGGATTCTAAATCCAATTAGGTCGAGGGTGCAATCATATAAAAATCGAATAAGTTTGAGTTTTAAGGTACGCACTCCTTTTCCGATAATTTTTTTGCTTGATCTTAAGACCCTCATTGACTTAAGCATTAGAGTGTATTGAGTCGGTCAATCCCGACCCATGACAATTTATTTGCTTGTTGAAAGGAAATAAGATGTAATTTATTTGTTTCTCTACAAAAATTGAGCACAAAGAATCCACATTGCCCTATAAGTATTGGGTTTAAAAAAAAAATTTCTCATACAATTGACATCATATGTGAAAAAGGAAGCATAAAAGTACAACCATATTGAACCTACAGAGCACACTAGGTTCACCACACAAGGACCAACACTCTGATTCTTATAACTCAATTTCACCACACAAGGACCAACGCTACCAAAAACCCCTACCTGCTACCCAACTCAATTTCAAACACCATCTCCCTCTCTTCTAGAGAGTATATGCAAACGGATGCCCTTATACTTTGGTATTATTGGCTGTCTCTTTATAGTTGTATTTGTAGATGATCATGATTGTTATTCGAATTATTCACTAAAATAAGAAAAACGCATATATACAAAAGTTTTTGATTGGTAAAAAAATCATAACAAATTACTTATACATCTATCTAATACCACAACTAATAGTTTGAATTACACACTTGAAAAACAAAACAATAGTGGCGATTAATTCAATCTTTATCTAATATTATACAATTTAAATAAAATTTAAGAAAAATGAAATTCAAATACAAATCATCCATTAGATGAGTGGGTCTCATCAACTCATTCATCCAAAGGATGATACGTATTTGAATTATAATTTTTGGATTCTATTTTGGTTATGTATCATTTTTATTTCATCTAACGTTACAAAATTTATTACAATTACTTTTTTTTACAAAAAAATATTATGTTCTCTGCACGAACCCATATATTATACAAATTTTCTTAATCCCAGACAACCTTACTAACCCCTAACACATCCATCTCCTCTACATTTTTTTTTCTTTATGTCTACTCTAATTTTAAATTTTGTAATTAAAAAAAATTATTATTTAAAATATAAAATCAATACTTCATTTTTGGTACTATAGAATATTTTCAAACACATAATAATAATAACAATAATAATATTTATTATTAATATTTTCGATCCAAACATAGAATTATTGATAGTGTCATCGTATGGACAAAAAAACACACACATAAAAAGGGAAATTCTACGGTATCGATTTTTTTTTTTCTGGTATTGTATGGTTGATTACCATTTTTTATAGATAAAATTATAACTTTGAAACGAGAAGTTATAGCTGCTTAAGCGAAGCTCATGATCGATCATGAAAATCTCGGTATCGATTCCAATTTTCAATGATTAATTATACTCTTTAAAGTTGTAACTTATACTTTAAAAAGAAAAATGATATTTGAACCTAATTTGGAAACTTAATATGGAGATTTAATTCAATATAATCATTAGATCAATAATTGGCTCCATCTAATATTAGAGCACACAACTAATCTAATTGTTTCATTAAAATTACACCATTAAGTTTTTAAATTAGATCCTTATAATATTTCTTCCTAAAAAAAGTTAAGTTACAATTTTCGATCCAGAACCATACCATACCATACCGTAGCCTTTCCCCCAAAAAAAACATTAAGAAAATTTCAGCTACACTCCTCTAATTTATCATATTTTTTTGAGGACGCCTCCTATATTTTCTGTGGCACGTTCTATTAGATTAAAAATGTTAACTAGAATGTAATTTTATTAAATTGATCATTATATATTTTAGAAAAAACTTTATCCACATCTTCCCTAGATAGACATATTTTAAATGAGACCCTCTTTATTTTTAAAATTTTTTTACATATTAAAATTCGGGCCAATAAAACTCAATTCGAGTTAATTAAAATTTAAAGCGATTAAAAATTATTTTTTTACTTATTAAAATTTAAACCGATTAAAATTCTATTCGAGTTGAATTTTAATCGGTCTGAATTTTGATACATACAAAATATAAATTTTAATTGATTTAAATTTTAATACGTAAAAATTGAATTTTAATAAATTTGAATCGAATTTTATTAAGAAAAAATATAAATTTTAATTGACTTGAAATAAATTTTAATCAACACTAAGGTAAAGCTCAAAATTGGCTCGAATTTTAAAATGTAAAAAAATAAAATTTAATCAGTTAGAATCAAATTTTAATTGATTTAAATTTTAAAATATAAAAAAATAAATTTTAATTAACTCGAATTTTACGTAGAAAAATTATTTAGGGTTTATATATGAGTAATTTTGATATTTTGGATGATTTGATTTTTTTAGAAATGGTGGTTTAATGGCGGAGGATGTCAATAATATTTAAATATAAATTAAAAAGGGTGTCAATGATATTTTGAATAATAAAGAAGATGTTCTTAAAAATATAATAAATTAAAAGATTTGTTATTGAAATTTTCTCAAAAAATTGTAAAAGACATATAAACCATATATCATAGTCATCAGAGAACTAGTCATGAAAGGAAGCATCAGCATTCATAGGAGGAAACAAATCCCCAATTAAATGGGTCCCAAACCAAACTCCAGCCCTGGAGTGCATTGTCCACATTGCACAGGTGTAACTCATAAACCGCGAGTACAATCACAACCTCTCCACTGCGAGTTGCCCTAATCCACTCCTTTTATAATCCACTGTTCACAGCGTCCTTTGAGTCCCCATTCACCCTGCTCTCTCTCTCTCTCTCTCTCTCACGGTCGGTTTCTCGAAACAAAACCGAAAACCAAAGCTTATTTTCATCTCTCAAATCTCAATCTCTCGATCCGCCATAGCCTCCACATTCCGAGAAGATCGAATCTTTGAACCGCAATATGTCACGAAAGGTCTGGAGAGCTCGACTCGGATGATGGAACTCACCGATTCGACTCAGGGAAACTCCGAACCGACTGTATCCATTCTCGGTATCGATCTCAATGAAGTCCCTTCTTCGTCCTCATTCGAGTCCTTGTCTCGTGATGCAATCTCCGTCGTGCGGACCTTCCACGGCGAACTTACTCCTCCGGCCGGAGTTGCGGCGGAGCTACCGGATATCTCGTTCAGTACATCGTGCAGTTCTTGCCATTTTAAGGAGGTTCCGGGACAGGTAGTAGTTTGCGACGGTTGCGAACGGGGTTTCCACCTCGCTTGCGCTGGAATGCGGGGTGAACAGGCGGAGATTATCAACGAGTGGATGTGTAGGGAGTGTGTGAGCAATAATGTGCAGAGTAATCGGTGGCCATTGGGATGGAAAACGAAGCGAAAGTCTGGACGTGTTCGTTTATTGGATATCAATGCTTTGCCTTATAGTGACGGTGAAGCTGAGGGGAACGAGGACTCACCCGGTCCGAGGTACGATTTTTTCGCGCTTTAATTCAATTTCAGCAGTTTTGGTCGTATTAGTTAGCGTTTTATTAAAAGTGAAATCCTTTGTCTGTGCATGCATAGGAATGTGAATAATGGAGTTTGGTGAATTTAATTTCGAGGATTATTACACTAACGAAAGGAGTAGAGGACATCAAAAACAAATTTTGCTTAAAGTAGCTTGGGAAAGAACTGCTATACTAGTCAGCAACAGAATAATTGTTGGACTATTTGGCTCATTGGTTCAATTAATGTGATGGGCGCAGCTAGGTAACCATGATGGGTTTCTTGTTTAGAAAGTTTTACCTTATATTTATCAAGGCATCAGCGGGTGAAGAAGTTCAGATGAATGTTGGCACGAAGTATACACTGTTAAATTATGGTTAGGTTTTCATTTGAATGAGTAATTACTTTTATGTGCTTAGCTATCAGAATATGACTGGCTCTAATGTTATTGGATGCTTTTTAGTCGTGGTATTTGAGTAGTATAGTGGAAAGCCCTTAATATGACTTGATCATAGTTTTAAAATATCTGACAGAAGATCAGTTTGTCTTCAGAGAGTTAATGTTCTTAACAAGGTTGTGAAGTATAGGAAACATGGAAAAGAGGAAATTAATCAATTGGACACATTTCATAATTATAATTGTGGGCATATAATTATGGGCATATAATTCCATAGGCATCTTTTTTTTGAATAAATTCCTCTACATGGTGCCAAAAAAGGGGTGTCAACTTGGTACTTGTGAGGTATAAATACATGTCCTCAAGAAAATTTCCCAAGAATTTAAGGAGGAAGACACCCGTTTTAAGAAAAGGAAAAAAAAAATCAAACTTTTCAATTTAAACACGAAGTGGTCCTTCCCCTTCAAGAGCTCTCATATGCGCTCTTTATGTATACAACTTTATTAACTTGAATCTTGATTGCTTTTGATGTGATAGAATAAGGATTGGTATGTATTTATGACTTCAGTTTAGAAATCTCATCTCGTAAATAACATAGAATAATGTGATGAAATTAAAGAATATACATTGAATAAGGTTGCCATCTACAAATTGATGTATTTATTTGGTTGAAAAACATTCAAGATCTAGTTAAGAAAATTATGACGTCATTTTATGGTCTTGGAATGCTAAACTTCCCTTCATAGGTAAAGGAAGTTGCAGTAATTACCTATTCTTGTTGGGTTCACAGAAGGCAAGGTTTCGTATAGCTTGGTCTAGCGTGGACCAACCATTCGCATAGAATTATGCTAAATTGATGTATGAGCAATTCAAGCATGGCTTGTTAAATGAACATTTGAAAAAACAAGCTTACTGTTAAAAAGGAGATTATGCTCTTAAGATATGAAATTAATGCGCTTAAAAAAATTTATGCATCCCTGGCTTAAAGATTCGGAAAGAATTATTATTCCTTATTCGAATGTCTAAATGTTCATGCACAAACATGTAGAGATTAAGTAGTTTAATTTGTGTTTAGGTTCACTTTAATACGGAATGAGAGGTTGGTTGGAGATTCTTTTCACTTAGCTGACAATCACCTTGACAACCCCCATCATTAGAAAATACAATAATGATTTAAACACAATGACTTATTAAAGCTATACAGTTGAAAAATCTCATTCTACCTAAGTTTTCTAAATGACGCGAACACTGGATTTATCATAGTAAGTATACATTCTCAACTCAACCAAACTCAATATTTCTTAAAAGAAAGTGTGATTTGATGGTTGGTTCAACTCTTGTCATTTATTTTGGTTTGGAAAGAAGCTAGATAAGGGGATAATTTATTTGATTTGCTTGCCCTTTTTTGGGGGTGTGGGTGATGGTCATCTAAGTGAGAAACAATTTCCAACTACCCTTTCTTTCATGTGGACGTAAAACTATATGGAGGGATAGAATCGACAAGGATCAAAATTTTGTTTTGGTGTATTGTTCTGGTCACTTAGGGAACAAAAATGTTTCGATATGTTTTGAAAACGTTTCGACCCCGTTTTGAAAAAAGAATGAAAAAAAAAAATATTTAAAATTATTTTTATAAAACATTGTTTGAAATATATCAAAATATCTTGAAATACTTTGAAACATTTCGAAACAATTGTGCAAATACATTGAAATATAACAAAACATTTTGAAATGTTGTAAAACACCTCAAAGTATTAGAATTTTGATTCCATTACTATTTCGTTTCGGCCTCCTTGGAAATGGAAACGTTTCGACCATTTCAAAATGAAATCTTGATCTTTGAGTATCGATATCCCATTCTTGAACTACTGATGTTACATTACAGCTATGTTCATGAATGAATGGTTATGTGCCAGATTAAAAGGTATCAATGATTTTTAACTGGGGATCAATAATAATTTTGGCCTTGTTCCATTTTTCTCTTTCCGGGGCAAGCAAATAGTTATTATCATATTTATTCAAGTTGTTCTCGAGTGTATCTCCACTCTTAATTAAGTTGTTCTTGATTAAATGGTAGTTTGTTGGACCAAAGTAATTGATTTGAACTTAAATTTAATTTTTAGAAATGTTTATTTGACGAGCCGTGCTTGAATTGTCATGCTTTAGCTTGGCATCTTTCACAGTGAATAGCTGTTGCACGTTCAAACAAGGGGCATTAATGTTCTTCTATTAATGCAGTGAGCGTTACGGAAAACAAGGGGAATCTGACTTGAAATTTCTTTGCCTCTGGAAAATATATGGGGAGCGTTACGGATGCAAGATGATTTAAAGGGTTTTCTTAGTTAGATCTTAGTCTCCCTCTCCCTGCAGCAAAGAAGTTCTCTTGATCTTGTAGTCTTCATCTATAGAAAGCTTATTAATCGAAGAAAAGATATCCCCATTTTCTTCCATTTGTTTCTGTCATTTCATTTCATCTTCATGGCAGAATGAATATGAAGACCGAAACCCTAAATTCATGCATTTGGAAACAACCCCAGTGAAGTAAGGGAAGATTCAGGTTGATCAATTAACTCTCTCTCTCTCTCTCTCTCTTATATATATATTTATTGTGTGAATCTAATTCATGCATCTATCATATGAATGTATGTATCCCTTCTTCAATCAAAAGAAACATTTCGTCTTAGTTGTTTGCAACTTATCCACAGATTTCGTCTCATTTGAAGGGGTAATCTTGGATTTGCATTGTGTACGATAGGTAGTAACTTCTTATATTGGAAGACAAATTGATAGGGGGAAATAGTTATATAAGGATACATTCTTTATTTCTCATGTGTAGTTCAATGTTTGGATCATTAAACGTATAGGTTTTGATGTATTATTTTGGGCATCGGATAATTTCAACATCATCTATTAATCTGGACTTTATGAAACAAGGTTCTTAAAAGTCTTACATAGTTACATAGCAGTTTTTTCTTTTTTTTTTTTTTGGGAATGAATCTAGGAATTAATTATTTTCTTTGACATTTGGAGTTTTCCATTTTAAGTCATTTAATTTGTAATTTGTCCGTTGTATTCATTTGAGTTCTGGGATTAAATTTTGATGCGATGCTAAACTATTTCACGCTAGATCCGGAACTCTGAGATTCCTGTTATGTACAATTCTATACATTGGATTGTTTATATGTAGGTTTGAATCTTTTTCGGTTATAAGTTCCACAACCTAATGCTTCTCATTGGAGAGCTAATGTGCAAATAAAACTCCTATATTGATTTCCATCAAAAAAATTCTGAAAAATACATGAGAAACAGTAAGCCATTGGCTAGGAATCCATTCCATTTTCTTGCATTCTTTCTCGGCCATCATGCAACAATTGGCTTACCTCTGGATTCATTCCATTTTCATTCATATTCTCTCTGTGTCATCATGTAACAATTAGCTCGATTACTTGAATTATAAACTTGAATAATATTTTCCGACTATAATTGACTTTAGAGATTTAATACTTTTGTAGTGTGGTTTAAAGTAGTTTTTGTTTGGTTGTCCTAACTCGTGAGTGAGGTTGATTTACTAGTTAAGGAACTTTGCTTCTAAACTGCATGTGTGAAAAGTCTCATTTTTGTTTAGGAATACTATATCGTTGACTTAAGCAAGTTTTGATTAGGCTTGTATATGCTTCATGAGATTTAGACTTTAAAAATCCTTCTCGAGGCAAGCATGAAAGCATCACTATTTGATGTCCTTAGACATGCAGGATGGCGCATATTGTCTAGCTCATGTGAAGATGCCAATCAGCTTGCTTTATAAGTTCGTGAGGCTGGTCACCAAAGATATATGTTTGTATGGCTTTGACCCTTGCTTTATTTTCTTGCCCCTCAGGTTGCTAGCCAAATAAAGAGAGAGATACTCTTAGGGCTCTTTTGGTTACCGTATTGTAAAATACTAGACTGTATTAGGTAATACAGGCTATTTCTGTATAAACGAATAAAATACAAGATTAAATATGAGATAAAAATATCACGCATTGTAATTCAGTGTTAAATAAGACCCTGATTTAGAAGTGGGATAATAGAGTACTAATTACGTATTAACCAAAAAAAATATCAATCTTGTCTAGTTATTAATGTTTTTGTTTATTTGGTGGGTAAAATAGTAAATTTATTACAAATACGCTTGAATCGACCCAATAGTATGGATAGAGTGTGTTATTTGGATAAGCATTTGAAATAAGACTATATATGTGTGTGTTTGTGTGTGTGTTTTGGCAATCAAATGCATTATAAGGTTGGATGAAAGAGTTTTGATCTGTTATGTTTCTGTAATCCACCCTTTAATACTGCAACCAAATTACCCTTTAGGTGTTTTTTGACATATGCTTGTTATTCTGACTGCTTAGTGCTTACAGTCCTTAGTCAGCCTGGCAATTAGGCCACATTGTGTCCATTAATCAATCACGAGTCTGTGATTCTAACACTGGTTGACTGTTTTAGTGATTGTATGTGGGAAAAAAGTCGCATGCAATTGCAGGAGTGTGTGTACGCACAGAAATTTCTATGAGGTAGTGCTAAGTGATGGGCATTGATTTGGATTGCTAAATGGTGATATGTTATTGGCTATCCAATGCTTCTCTGGGCTGTCATATCATAAAGGAGAAGAACTTTATTCATATAGTTGATTTGAAGTTTGGTGCTACTTGCTATCTATAAATAAGTGATGCTTCTTATCAGTTGCTTATTGTTCTTCTTAAAAATTTTTAGTTGTGGTATCATAAGAGCTTAAGTAGCAATCATTATCATCAGTGTTCATTCCTGATGATACCCCACTATGCCTTAATAGATAATATAGATTAGCAGTTTCTTCCAATGCCTTACAATCAACTTTATGCTCTAGTTAAACAGCTGCTCTCTTGGATTTCTCATGTTTGAATACTTTAGTTAGTTTATGTTGTCTTCTGCTTCTTCTGACTTATTTAGTAAGTTGTTGACATGTGAGAAATTTTAGATGGTTACTGGCTATATTTATTGTGTTTTTAGAAAACACATTCCAGATGGTAATTCTTTTGGTGGCAATCCATTTGGTGTCCCAGTGACAAATTCAAACTTGTTGCATGCGGGAAATGGATTTGGATTTCATAAAGCATCTGGTGTTCGGATACAATCCATCAAATTGGGGTTTGAAGATATCTCTAATTATATGCATACTGTGCATAGAAGATTGGAGGAGGTAGATTTGCAGCCTCTCTACAAAAGGGTTAGACATAGCAATAATACAACTATTGGAATTCGACCTCAGAATCCGAGCGAGATGTATCTGCAGGCTCTTAGAGAGTATATTCTTGAAAGGCAAGGTGTGCTAGGGGAAGGTTGGCATGTTGAATTCAAAGAGCAAGAACCTGAGAGCGGTGGTGAAGTATGCCCAGTATACTGTTCTCCAGACGGAAAGGCATTTGAGTCAATGTCAGAAGTTGCTTGTTATCTTGGGTTGTCGTCTAATAGCATGTCTAGTGAAGCTGAAATAAGAAATACCTCTGCTTCACCACAGAGACAGTTGCATCCACCCAAAACAAGAAAGTCCGCAAGACTTTCAATGGCAGACAGTGTCAGTGGAAATGCTCTGGTGAATGGTTTGTGTAAGGGAAAAACATCAAACAGTAAGGGAAAAACATCAAACATTGGAACTGTGGGTTATGTTGATAAGTATGGACATAGTGTAAGTGCTGCAAGTGCTGGGGCCGAAAAGAACAGTGGAAGTGACTCTCAGCAATTTAATGTAAGTGAACATGTTCTCTTTTTCTGCTACGTTTGATTTTTCAGTTTGAGATATTATCACTGGTGCATGCTTATTTCCTTATTTACATTTCAGGATGCACTTCCGGTCCAGTATGAAGATTTCTTTGTTCTTTCAGTGGGGAAAATTGATGTAAGACCATCTTATCACGATGAGAAACAGATCTGGCCTGTAGGCTATCGATCCTGTTGGCACGATAAAGTTACTGGGTCACTTTTTATGTGCGACGTGTCAGATGGTGGTGACTCTGGGCCTGCTTTTATAATCAGAAGATTGTCTTGCTCTGCTCTGCCTATTCCTAATGGTTCTACTGTCCTTTGTAGTCCAGATTTTGACAAATCGGATCAGCCAAATAAAGAAGGAATTGATGGTATGACTTCAACTCATGTGAGTTGTGACAAGGATCTAAATCTTCTGATGTTTCTCTCAGACCCTTCACCACCTTTGGAACATGACATTTTATCATGTCTTGGGAATAGTCCTAGTGTATCTTTTGGTGTGCAGACATCAAATAGCTTGCAATTTGAAGCTACACCACTTTGTGATGGATCTGGAGATACTTCATCATTGGGGGATGAACTAGGCGAGTTGTCAGTTGAAGAGTCTTCTCCATCTTTTGCATGGAGTATTGTGTCTAAGAAACTTATGGATGCTTGCCATGAAACCTATAAGCGGGCAGGCACTGTTAAGTTCTTCTGCAAGCATGTTACAAATGAAACACTGCCACCGTACTGGGATATGAAGAAGATAAACAATAAAGAAAAGATTATTCAGTTGGACAAATTCCGCGGTTTAACAAATTCTGTCAACATCCCATTTGTTATTCGGGATGACGGGGTGTTTGAGGCTTTGACTGAAGAATTGCTGAAATGGCTGGACCAGAATAGGTTTGGACTAGATGTGGAATTTGTGCAGGAAATTTTAGAACAGCTTCCTGGTGTCCAAACTTGTCCACGCTATGTATTTTTAAGTGAAAGAATTGATTATTCTTCATCTGTAACGGTAGGAAATGGGCTCCTAGAGATTAAAACAAACTGTGGAGTTCAAGCTACAGATAACGAAGAATTAGATGGTTTATCCAAGAATTGTGAAAGATCCCGGATTCAGATGGTGGGAGACCCTGTGATGAATGATGATTGTCTTCCTCCTGGGAAGCCTATTAGCTCAAGACTTCCACCTCAGCTTGTCGGTGATGTTCTTCAGGTATTTGTATACTGGTTACGAATATTGTACTGCTTAAGTGAAATAATATAGTAGATACTAATGACTGATTGGATTTTGAATATCCTTTTAAAAAAAAGGGATTTTGAATAATTGTGGATGAGGTCTAACCCTCCTCCCCCTCCCCACCCTACCCCTTGGTTCAACTCAGGTATGGGAGTTCCTAGGGCGTTTTTACGAAGTTCTGGGCCTGAAAGAGCCTTTCTCATTTGAAGAACTTGAAGAGGAATTTATTAATCCATGGTATGATGGCTTAAGTCCTTCAGTGCAATCTGGAACTAAGATCCAAGGAAGTCAAGACATATTGTCGCATAGATCTGATGGTAAAAGCGACCATATTATATATTCAAGCATTGAATTTGGTCCAGCTGTTTCCATGGAAAATCCACATGCTTTCGTACCTCTTGAAACAGAAGCAATGAAGGAAGCTGCCCAAACTAGAGTGGCATCTGTCACCTTTAGCAGGTGCATGGGTTTTGCTTTGACTAAGGCTCACAATTCGCTTTTAAAAGTGCTAATAGGTGAGTTACAGTCCAAAGTGGCTACACTAGTGGATCCACATTTTGATGTTGGTGAGTCAAAATCAAAACGGGGCAGAAAGAAAGATACAGAAGACTGCTCGATTGCTGCAAAAAGAAGCAAGCTCAATTTGCTTCCTTTCAATGAATTGACTTGGCCAGAATTGGCGAGGAGATATATCTTGGCTTTTTTATCCATGGCTGGTAACCTTGACTCTACAGAGATAAGTATCCGTGAAAGCGGAAAAGTGTTCCGCTGTTTACAAGGTGATGGAGGGCTGCTCTGTGGCTCACTCACTGGAGTTGCGGGAATAGAAGCAGATGCATTGGTGAGAAATCTTGACCAGTTTGAAAAAAAAGTTTTCTAACTTTTGTGTTTTGAATGATTGCTTTCTTATACTTTATTTGCCCCACCCCTACCATTGCATGTCACTCAAACAGTTACCTTGGGAATTCCAGATTTTGTGATCTGAAGGTATGAGCTGAAATAAGTTGCAGGGAAAGAAAGATGAATGGTGGTTACTTGTTCATGGTTTAAAATCTTGATCTTACTACTGAGTATTATCATTTACTATTAGATTTATTGGTGAGCTAAGCTTACAAGTTTTCTGTGTCGTGCTCAACAATTGTAATTGAGTAATCAGATCTCCTATCATTTTGTTTAGGGCTGTTCGTGTAGAGTAGAAGCTGCTAACCATGACCATATTGAACCTGTAATGAATTCTAATAATGAAACATATATTTTAAACTTTTGATTGATTTTTTATTTTTTTGCCATTTTGATACCAACGTCATGGCTTTGCAAAGAGCCAACTTGTGAAGAAAGACTTATCTAGCCAATTTAAAGCCATTGGAATTGAGATTTAGTGAGTTGTGTTGTGTCTTCTTTAATCTTGTATTTTTTTTACATTTTTTTGATCATTTTTAATTTGTACTTTTGTATTGCTCAAATTTTGAGATCAGTATCTTGTTCTTTAGACTACGGTTAAATTTTAAAACTGTCATGGTTATTGTGTTCCTGTTCGTTGAAACCCACTATGTCATTTTCGTTTCCCTCTAGTGTCGTCATGTTCTCTTTTATGGCTAATGTAGGTATTTAGTTGTGGTAAACTTCTGTTTCGGTCGCAGCTATCTGGCTTCCTGTCAATCCTTTCTATATAGGATTTTTACTTTGTCTAGTTTAAATGAGATTATGATCTCTGTTTAATCTGGTTTGGTTTCACTTGTTGTAGTTGTAGTTATGACTTTTTCCTGGTTTTGCCTGATATATTAAGGAAATAAAGAAGAGGTAGTGCATGCTAAGGCACTGACTTGTTTCTCATTCAGTTACTCGCAGAGGCCTCAAAAGGAATTTTTGGTCCTTTCAACAGAGAAAAAGATGCTCTTATTATAGATGATGATGGAGCTGATGGCACTGGTTCTTATAAAACAGACTCGGTCAATGATGGTACTGTCCCAGAGTGGGCTCTGTCACTGGAACCTGTTAGAAAGCTGCCCACAAATGTGGGGGCCAGAATTAGGAAGTGTATCTATGATGCTTTGGATAAAGGACCACCAGAATGGGCGAAAAAAATCTTGGAGCACTCAATTAGTAAAGAAGTTTATAAGGGCAATGCATCTGGGCCTACAAAGGTGAGATTGCTCCCTAACTTTCTGGCTTTGAAACCATGAAGTTTATGCTTCTTTTGATTGAAACCTTGAAGTTCATCCTTTCTATTATAGGACATGGATTCTTTCTTCTGCACTTGTGCTGACTGATTTATTATGCTCTGGATTTGCTTGATGTGTTCTCAGACTTTGATTTTCACTCTCACTTCTGTCAATTTGAACTTGTCAGGCTGGATCAGGACTAGTTAACATGAATGTGATGCCACATTGTCAATTCCAGGCAATTATATCAAATTATCCATGTTTCAGGAAAAAGAGAAGTACAAATTATATTATTGCTTGCATTGTAGAATGCATTTGCTTTTTTCTCCCTTTACGTTAGCGAAGAGAGACAAAGAATGGTTCATTTTTTAATGCCTATGTTATTACAATTTACAACTTTCTGTGATTGCTACAGATCTTTATGCTTCTGCTTTTCAAAATCTAATTCCCCTTTTTATGTCCGAAAGGAAACACAACCTGAGGGTACCTGGTATGGTGTGCAAAATGCCCACTTACATGTCTTCTATAATATGGAACTTGTACACCTGAGACTGCTCAGACTTGTTCATACATTGTTATTTTGTGATTGTGTTTTTCCACTCCCCCTCCTCATTCCCGTTTTGATGTTATGATTATGTTATTTATGGTTGCATTAAGTCAAATTAGCTAGATTTTCCTATATTTTGCTTTTTATTCCAAGTTTCCATCTTTAAGGTGCCATCAATGTTTGTGGCCATTTCGTATTTGTGCTAAAATCAAAAAAATATTTGCAAATGCATGAAATCTTGTCCAACGATTCATTCTCTTCTTGAGAATATATTTTCTTTGCAATTAATGGAAGAGATTTAAAAATTCAGCAGATTCCTCTGTGTAGCATGGATCTTATATCTGGTGTTTGTATTATTATAATGAAACTTGAGATTTGTTAGGCTTGTTAATTGTAGAGATGCGTTTTCTCGTGGTTCATTACATTACTAGGGAGAAGGTGGTTTTCTAATTGCTTCTGCATTGTTTGTTTGAAATTACTTGTGCATTCTTTTTAACTCTTTACATAGAGCTGCTTAGAGGTTAAACATAAAATGAAATGGAGCCTTATCATCTTCCTACTTTTTTCTTCCTTCCCTTTTCCTCCTGAAAAAAAAAAAACAAGCAAACAACTTGGGGGAATGTATTAGATGGGACGAGGTTCTCTTCTCTTCTCATTTGCAGAAGTGGCTTCAAAGATTGTGATGTGGGTACTTTTTTGGAGTTGAAATTTTCCTTTTAGCCTAATTCTTACTATTTTATAATTACTGTTTTTGTTTTGGAAACAGAGAGCAGTTCTTTCAGTGCTAGCAGACGTATATGGTGAAGGTTTGCGACAGAAACAAGATAGGGGAAGAAAGCGAAAAATGTTCATATCTATTTCTGACATTATCATGAAACAATGTCGTATTGTATTACGTCGTGCAGCTGCTGTTGATGATGGGAAAATTTTCTGCAACTTGTTAGGAAGGAAACTGATACATTATTGTGATAATGATGATGAGGGAATTCTTGGATCTCCAGCTATGGTATCACGTCCTTTGGATTTCAGGACCATTGATTTGAGATTGGCAGCTGGGGCCTATGGTGGCTCACATGAAGCATTTCTTGAGGATGTTCGAGAGGTCTGTTTCCTTTTACCGTTTGATTTTATTGGAAAAATTTTCTCATTCGAAGTACTTATTCTTTTTAACTTAGCATGGATTTTTCTACAAGGTTACTGCTTGATTTCCAGTAAATTAATGTTCTACCGAGCATGGACACTAATACACTATCTCCCTTGTACTCTTTTGTTATGTGGTTTTGCAATATAAAGGTGAGAAATTATGTTCAGGTTGTTGACTGAAGCACAGGCTTTTTGATTTGACTGACCATCTATGCTGAGGCAGCTCATTTCATCTGTTAGATGAGAAATCAAAATGTCGGATTTCTCGTCATTATGGTTATTTTGGCTTCTGCTTCCACTGATTAGGAAGTTTATTCTATAGAAGATAATCATGGGTTAGGGGTTGAGGGTTTAGAGACCTATAACCTAACTTTCTGGACGCACCACATTATTCTCCCAGAATTTCATCTTTTAAATTTTTTTTTTACTGCTATCTGTAACATATCTCCTTGACTTTAGTCCTGGTCCAAAAGGTGGCCACTGGCTCATACAATGAACCTGTGGTATTGATTGACATCGGATTGAGGCTCTAGTTTTTTCATTAGTGTGACATTGCCAGGTTACTGCTGCATAGCTTCGGACTTGTGATATTAAAGTTATAGGATTCCTTGCAAATTTTTTGATTTATGCTGCTTTGCTTTTCTGATGCTTGCTGAGAGTCTTGGACCAACCTTTCTTGTTTGTTTATCCAATGCACTCCGATTTTTTTCGAGTATGTTAAGAATTCAGCCATTCTCTTTTTCCTCTCTCTGTTGTTTTATACTGACAGTTGATGCTTACTGCTGCATGCTTACTTTATGTCTTGTCCAAATTGCCCTGTACTCTTTGTTTTTCTACGGACCGTTAATATACTACTAGTGTTTTATATTTTATAGCTCATCATAGATCAAAATTAACCAACTGACATTTAAAGTATCTTTAATTTTTTTCCCCACCCACAGCTATGGACCAATGTGCGCATTGCTTTCAGGGATCAGCCTAACTTCGTTCAATTAGCCGAGAAATTGTCTCATAATTTTGAACTGTTGTACGAAAAAGAGGTCTGTACACTCTCTCTCCACCCCCCCCCCTCCCCCCCAAAAAAAAAATAGCCACTTTCACTGTTTACAATGTGACTATTTGGTGCATACATTTTTACTTGTAATTGACAAAAAGGTGTTTTAATGCATGGGTGTAGGGACAGACCTGCAGTTCTATAATTGATGGAAATGTATTTCAGCTTTGGGGATTGATATACTCCAGCATCTTACTTTTTGAGAACTGCATTCCATAGATTCCAACTCTCTTAATGAATTTAAAACTGTCCAACAGTTTGACTAATATGCAATTGTTATATGTGTACATATGTTCTTTTTCCAGACTGGTATATCCTTACGACTAAAGCGTCTAGGAAATCAGATATTTGATGTTTCATTTGTAATGTGAGATTTAGGCTTTTTGCTTTGAGTCATTAGTGTTGGACATCCGATGATTCATGAGGCTCCTGCCATAGCGGGGTCTTGAGAGGGTCAAGATGTATGCAGTCTTACACTTGCATGCGGAGAGGCTACTTCCACAACTCGAACTCTTGACGTCCGGGTCGCAATGGAGCAACCTTACCACTTCGCTAAGGCGCACCACCTCTTGGTGGCAGATATGTGGGAATATGAATGAGCTTCATAATCTTGTGAATGACGTGACGTCCACTATCGCAATAAAGCTGTTTTCTGAAATTCTTGATAAATTCAGAATAAAAACTGACATGAAGAAGTGGTCCTATAGCAAAAATTACGTTTCATTTGCTTTTGTACAGTCAACCTTTCCATCTCTTTTAGGCTAACACTTAAAAAGATCCAAGTAGTTTGGGGAAGTATGACAATGAATGAAGGTATAGCTTGTGAAATCTCTAATTTTAGTTACGCAGGGTCTGTGACTTGTGTAAATGCTGTATCTTGGACAAATACGAAGTTTCTAACTTCTATAAAGGATGAAACCGTTGGAAGATACTTTTGTTAATTCTACCTCGAACCAGAGACAGTTTTAAGCTGGAGGGTTTAGACCTATGATTAAAGTTCTAATCTTCACCCTTTCTCAATCTTGTTTGTAGAGTTAGTATGCAATTTGCAAACCGACAGGTGAAAAAATTAGAAAATATGGTTTTTAAAGCACTTCAAGTTCAAATGGAAATCCACGGAAAGAATATACTCACACATCCTTCCCCTTTTTCTAAGATTAATTACCTTATTCTGCATTCATCTTGCTCATATTTGAGGGGTTATTTTATACTTCCGGATGCAGGTTGTTGCCCTATTTCAGAAATTAGTGGAGTATACTAATTCAGAATGCCTAAGTGCTGAGGCAAAGAAGGAGATAGATGACTTTCTTGTTTCCGTGAATGAAGTTCCAAAAGCCCCTTGGGAAGAGGGTGTCTGCAAAGTATGTGGCATTGATAGAGATGATGACAGTGTGCTATTGTGTGATACTTGTGATGCAGAGTATCATACCTACTGCTTGAATCCTCCACTTGCAAGAATTCCTGAAGGGAACTGGTATTGTCCTTCTTGTGTGGTTGGTAAGCGTGTGGTCCAAAATGCATCAGAAGGTACTTGGGTGGATTGCCTACGCCCAAAAAAGTGTCAAGTAGAAGTCGTCCGTGAATTCTTGGATGCACTCATGCATTTAGCATCTGTAATGGACGAGAGGGAGTATTGGGAGTTCAGTGTTGAAGAGGTTGGTCTGTTCTGCCCCTTATTTATATATCTTCTTGTAATTTCTTTCTATCTTCTGATTGATATTCATTGATACATGATTGCATTCACATCTTTGAAAAGTTGATCAATATGAATGCATCATGGCCATGAATTTGCTACTCGTGTTTTTATTTAGACTACATCTATGTACTACACTCTCAGCCTTCACTTAATCAATGAAGACAAAGACAGTGGAAACTACAAGAACTGGCTGTCATTATTGTACTCGACCTTGGAGTAAGACAGAATTTTCAGTACAAGGACTCATGTAAAGTTGTATTTTCAGTGTGTTTTGAAATGATAGATTAGTTGTTAAGGCAGTCCAGGGCATGAGACTCCCATCATTGTTATTAAGGCAGTCCAGTGCATGAGACTCCCGTCACTAGAGGGTCTAGGCAGGAGTAGATTCGTCAATCAATGCACACTAATAAATTGTCGTCAGTCTTTCGGAGTACAATATATTTGTCAAATTGATACATGAAAGCAGCACGAGATGGGGAATTGATGCATAATATCTATTGATTTATTTTGAGTATTATGTATGTCAATTCATCTTATGAAGTTGTGCAGTATTTGTTCACATTTTTATTTAGCAAATCATACCACAAGAAACGTCCTATCAACATTCTTGTGCTCATGTATCCATTGCAAGGCCAAAAAACCATACCTCTAGTAAAAATACGAGTTACTAACATTCTGTTATGAACTCTAATTAGTTTTTTCCAAGTCTTTATAGGCTTCACGTTGGGAAATGAATCTGATTCAGAAACAGAAGCCGGGCTAACTTAGTTGTCCAATGGCTCTAAGTGACTAGATTGACATGAACACTTTTTTTTTTTTTTGATAGGAAACAAATCAGTTTTATTAATGGAGAAGATGTAAATTACATAAGAAAAAATTGGATAAGATATCCAACTAAAAGCAAACAATTGAAAGTGGTGAATTAAAAAAGCTTATAGATCACATGAAGCTCTCCATTCTGATAGAATAGCAAATAGTGGAATTCCATTGAACTCCTTTGAAACCGAAGCCAAAAAGATGCTAAGAAATGAATACAGTTCCACATCCCTTCTACACATTCACACCGGTCTTAAAAAATTCTAGCATTCCTTTCTTTCTAAATAACCCAAAATGTTGCCATTATTGCACAATTCCAAAGAGTAACACCTTTATCAGATCTTCCCAATCCCTTCAAATCTTCAACAAACACTGAATTTGATGTTGACACTAACACTGTCTTGATTCTCTAGAACCTTACTCATACTATGAGGCCGAAAAGGCACAATTCAACCTTAAGGTTCAAAATAAATCATTCTAAAAATAAATGGTTGAAAACACATTGAATGGCCACGTGGTTGATGCTAATGACAAATTTTACCATTCAGAAATGGGCCAAACAATCATGAGCAGTCAGAGAGGAACTATTAAGTGCGGGTTGGATGCCCCGATTTGTGCAAATGAGTAACTAGTGTCAATGTCCACAGATAGTAGATATATTTCTATGTTTCTGAGTGCATAATGCCTAAAAAGTACTAGCTTTAAAAACCAAAAGCAGCATATACTGTCTATTAGATCTGTTGTTTGTATGTGTATATTTCTAGAAACAACGATCATGGTTGGAATAGAAGGAAAGGGGTTGAATTGCTCGAGCTCCTCTTTTGCAGTTGCACAATCTATTATGGCTGTTGCATTCTTGCACTAGTTGGGTTTCAAATTGAAATAATCTTTTATGGCTAACTTTGATCTTCAACTTGAACTTTCAGTGCAAAATTGCACTTTTTTTCCATGTTTTTTTTTTCTAATAAGATTTCCATATCATCCTTTGTTAATCTTTAATCCCCATGTGCACGGTGCCATACTGTGTACCACTAATTTTTGTTTCCAGATTGTTCTTAGTTGTGTTATTTATGAATATTCTGTTTCCTTCTTGATGTTTGGTTAACCAAGTTAGTTTCCTTCTGGATACAGAGAACGTTCCTGCTTAAGTTTCTCTGTGATGAGTTGTTGAACTCTGCTCTTATTCGCCAACATCTTGAGCAATGTGGGGGAGAGTCTGCTAACTTGCAGCAGAAATTGCGTTCTCTCTTTGTGGAGTGGAAAAATTTGAAGTGTAAAGAGGAAATTTTGGCTGCAAAATCTCCCAGGGGTAACATGAGCTCGCTGAATGCAGTTGGAGATAATGGTACAGAAGAAACCCCTACTGTTGCACAATCTAGTCAATGGCTGCATACTTTGAGTGATAAACATAACTGTTCTGGTGCTTTCTCTGATTATCTCCTACAAGTTGACAGCCATCAAAAGCATAATTGTCCTAAAATGTTCAATAAACACCCATCGCCCCACAATTCAGAAAAAATCTCTCTCCGTAACAGCCAAATCATTGAACCTATGGATGCTGAAGGTCAATCAGTAGATGGCCAGGCTGCTGTGAATGGTGTCCTATTTCCTGGGAATACTGCCGTCCATGTAGCTTCCCTGAAAAATGATGAATCTTTCCAACAAAAGGGATTGCCTTCATTGAATCTTCCTCAACATGATGTTGATAACTTGGCTCGAGAAAATATTTTCTGTGGCGACATGGAGAAGTATGTAAGCAGTGGTATTCCTAATCTGCCTCCTGATAACCAAAGTACACCACTTGACAGCCTTGTGTTAAGCGCTGTCAGGAATGAGATTTCACTTCTGCAGAACTCTATAACCTGCGTAGAAATGCAGATTCAGAAGCTGTCTGCTCGGAGAGAGTTTTTGGGTATTGACTCAGCTGGAAGATTGTACTGGGTCTTAACAAACTTGGCTGTAGAGCCAAAAATGGTGTGGCATGGTTCTCTGGGGGAGAACTTTTCGGTTTTGAGAAACTCTGCTCCTTGTGCCATGGACGATTTTGGGACTCTGAGGGGTTTCAGAGCTTCATGTTCGTTTGGTCATGAGTTTAATGATCCTTATCCCTGCTCTCCATGGGTTTCTTACCAATCTGATGCAGAGATTAAAGGGCTTGTGGATTGTTTGAAAGATCATGATCCAAGAGAGAGAGAACTAAAAGAGTCTATTTTGCAATGGCAAAAATTAAGGTTCCAAGTATATAAAAAAAGTGTACACCAAGATCAGGAGGGACCTCAAATTGCTTTGTCACAGTCCACAAATAGTGAAGATACTGTATTTACTGATTGCCTTTCCACCAAGGCAACCAGCTTGCTAGACACAAAGTACGGTCCTTGTCTCGAGCCAGAAACCACCGAGTTCTTGAAGAAGCAAAGCAGAAAGGCCATAACTACTGGACCAAAAATGTACCGGTGCGAGTGCTTAGAGCCTGTTTGGACATCTAGACATCATTGTCTTTGTTGCCACAGAACCTTCTTCACTGATATGGAACTTCGGAGGCATAATGATGGTAAGTGCAATTCAGTTCCACTAGCCTCTGAGAAGAGTAAGGAGAGTGGTAGTACTTTGAAGGGGAATGGCCAATGTGAGACTGCATGGGAGCAATGTGCAGGTGGACCAGACATTGATCATGCATCAAAAAGTGGGGGTTCTGAGCTTAGTTCGAGTTTGATTAGATATAGTAATGACGGATTAGTATGCCCATTTAACTTTGAGGATATCTGCTCAAAGTTTGTAATAAAAAATTCTAACAAGGAATTGGTGCAGGAAATAGGTCTCATCGGATCAAATGGGATTCCATCATTTGTTTCTTCTATATCTCCCTATATCAGTGAGTCTACCTTAATGCTAGTCCCCCCTCAAGAAGATGTATGTGTTCAAGTTGACAAGCCCAACGCTGATGAACAGCTTGCCTCATTGCAAGAGGGCAAGACGAGAACCATTGCTGGCAATGAAAGTATTACTGATGGGAATTCTTCTGGAAGATGTGTGGCAGGTGAACCTAGTGAAGCATTGGAAGTTGATCGACCAGAGTTTGAATGCTTGGTGCAGAAAGGGAAAAAATCATCATCACATGGTCATGTTCCGCTTACAGAGGATGGTAACTGCTGCATTGTTCCCAAGTATTCGTTGAAGCCATTAGTAGGCAAAGCTTCCCACATCTTAAGGCGACTCAAGATTAATTTGCTGGACATGGATGCCTTGCTGCCTGAAGAAGCTCTGAGGGCATCAAAGACACACTTGGAAAGGAGATGGGCCTGGCGTGCATTTGTCAAATCTGCACAGACAATATATGAGGTTGGTCTTATTCATGCAATTATTTTTTTGGTAGTTATTTATCAATGTTTATACTGAGGTTTTAAAATATCCTTATATTTAGCAATAGCTCGTGATCTTTTCTTGTAAAGCATCTGTAATTGTCATTTTGACTCCTTTTGCGCGACAGAGGAACTCTTCTTAGAAGAGTGCTTGCTTCAGATCCCTGAGGTTATTCAGCTTTCTTACTACTACTAATTTTCTTGCTTAAGGTAGCATTCCAAGACTCGTTTTGCTTCCACGAAGGCTGCAAACTTTTGAGTTATGTAATTCCAGCCTGGTAAACAAGGCTGCCACACCAACCATCCAATTCAATGCCCCCTTTTATCTAAAAAATTATTTTCTTCTTTTAGACAACAGTTATTCAGTATTGTCTTGCCATAAGAGATTCATGTATATTTTTTGACAGTCCAAGTGGATATGTACAACTTCCTTGCTGTCCATCCTCCTCTTCTCCTAGCCTTCTTGGGGACCTTTGCCACATACCTTAGGTGCCTAGAAGCTTGTATTTATGTCTCTAGGAATGATACGATTGTCGTCCCAACACTAAATTGTTGATCTTGGTTTTTTCCCCTGATGAGCCTCTTATCTGTCAATTTCCTAGTTATAAAATGCAACAGTGATGTGAGAAACATTGCCCCAAAGATAGGCAAGAACCTGCTGATAATGAGATTATGATTACCTTAAAATATGAGTAGAAGTTTTCCATCTCTGCAGCAGCAGTTACATGGAAAAAGTTTGTCAGCACATATACTCTGGTCTTATTCCCACAATGAGTTTAATGAAAGTTAAACCATAATCACGTCTCTGAAGTACCCATATTTCTTGGACTACTGTTTCTTTCTTCAATATTTAACTTTACGTACTGGAGATAAACATGTGCAACGATAATAAAATCTAATTTGACTTGAGTGGATGTCTAGTTGTATGTTTTTTTTGCGTCAAGTTGTATGATGAGGTTTCCGAGTGAAAGTTGTTTTTCTTTCAGATGGTTCAAGCAACAATCATATTTGAAGACATGATCAAGTCAGAATACTTGAGGAATTTGTGGTGGTACTGGTCATCACTCTCTGCAGCTGCCAAGATATCTACCTTGTCCTCACTTGCTCTGCGTATATACTCTCTGGATGCTGCCATCAATTACGAGAAGATTTCTTCTGATTTGAATCCACTTGAGCCCAACTGCAAACCTGACCAGAAGCAGGATCCTAGTTCGCATCCAACAGATAAATGTAAGCTAGGCAGGAAACTGAGCAAGAAAAGGAAGGAACCAGAGGAGTGATTTTGAAAGGTGCGATTCTCAGAATGAGGAGACCAGTGATATCTAAAATGAAATCGCTCCTGCTGATGTTAGAGTCGGTAGCAATAAAAAAAAAAAAGAAAAAAGAAAAAATTTGAGAAACATCTGCAGGTGGGTTGTAAATGGACCATTTATGCTGTCAAGGATTGTATATCAAAGGGCCATTAAGGAGGAGGTAGAGGGCTCAGGAAGAAGGCTGCTGCATCCATCTCCTCATGTAGAGATCAAGGTGGACAAGGTAACCTGCATGTTGCTAATCTATAAGGTATAATTTAATAGATGTTTTTTTAGGGTAGGAAACACCGAGACGAGAAGTTGCATGAAATGCTTTCAATTTTAGCCCTGATACTTGCTGTGGCTTTTGGATTTGTTGCATGGAAAGAGAGAAAATTTTGATCGGAATTTTTGTCACAAACATAGGGTGTTCAACATACACATTCAAATGGAAGAAATGTAAAAAAATGAAAAGATCGAAACTGATTAGGTAGGCCATGTTTTATGGTTCTACTCTCTCTCTCTTTCTCTCTCTCTTCCCCCCCCCCCAACCCCAACAACAACAAACACCCACCCACCCCACCCCCACAAAAAATAAAATAAAATTGGGTAACCAGGTGCATTCGCTTTCCCTTTCTTTACTGTTCGATCTAGGGATTGAATGCTTGTTGATAACTCAACAATCTTCATGTTGATAACTCAACAATCTTCATGTTGGAGTTCTTGACTATTAACAACCAGAAATTTGGAGTTCTACATGTGATTGAATAAGTTGAATGGTGGGCTGTGATTTTCTGCCATCAGTTGATGTTTCTATGTTATTGCAGTTTGAATATAGATGCTGCAAAATTTCTAGATATTGATAATTTGATATTGCCTGACATCATAAGGGTGCTTTGGTGGAAGTTTATAGTGGATAACTTGAATGGCATCAAAAGTAGACTATAGTTACTTGTTAGTGTGATATATGTCATCAAAATTGATGGCTAATGAATTGTGTTGCTTAGATTTGTTTTTGGTGAATAAGATATGGTAGTTTGTGATTTAACGACAGATGTGATTATTTATAAAGCACAATAAAATATTAGGGGTCGTACAACCGATATCAAGTAATTGAGCTTATTCTTTATTAAGTTGAGTTCAAGGATATATATATTGTTACGGTGCATTGTTTTAGTCATATAAGAAATGAAAAAGTTTGGAATTTATTTTTAAAATATTTAAATACAAGTTAAAATATATTGAAAACATTTTGAAGTATCTAGTGACAATATCTATAAATATCTTGAAATATTAAAATTTTAATTCAATCATTAGTTAATTTTGATCTCCTTAGATATGTGGAATATTTTGGTTGTATTGACTTTTGGAATTTTGATCCTTCCTTGAGGTGTAAGCTTGTTAGGGAAAATTATGGAGAGAGAGAGAGAGAGAGATAGTAGGGGTGTTAATCGAGACAAGTTACTTGAACTTGACTAGGATAAGATTCGACTCGTGTTCTAAATGATTTTTTAGACTTGTTTAGAAAAACAAGTCTTAAAAACGTGGTTCAAGTTCGCAAAGCTTGATTCAAGCTTGTAAAGTTCATGTTGTTTATATGTAAAATCGATGAAGTCATTCGAGTTTAGTTCAAGTTTGGGCTTGACTCAAGTTTTAAACAAGTCGAGGTTGAATAATTTTTTAAACTTGTTTAGAAAAATGAGCTTGGTAGATTCGGACCCAAGTTGACAAAACTAGGCTCGATTAACAACCTTGAGAGAGAGAGAGAGTAGTTTCTAACGTTGGTAGTTCAAATTGGAAGTGGTATGGTGACGTTGGCTTGGTGCTTCAAATGGAGTGGAGATAATTTTGTTATCACCTTCATGTTGTTCATACGAGCTTCTACATCCACTTCTACAACTACTCAATTAACTACCACACTTGGTCATTCTAAACATGTCCTAAAGCTCTTCCACAGAATTGTTATATGTCAGTGGTGGCAATGCCTGTTGATCTTGACCCCAATTTGCACACCCAAAATGAAATCACATCCTTCCGACTTCAATACAGTTCAACCATAAATGAAGTGGGTTGTGTTGTAGCAAGCTGTTATTGATGTGAGCTCTTTAAGGCATAGGCTTGTTTTTTTTTTTTTTTTTTTTTGTTTCAATAGTTAGGGATGTCCAAATTAATTTATACACATTTCGAATAATCTCTTCAATAATTCGATCATAGGCAAGCTTGTTTTTTAGCATGGAACTGTGGATGTTAATGTTGAGGGTACTTTTTTTGATCAGAATGATGATGTTACTTGAAAGATGCTGTTCTCTGGTCCAACTTGGATTGAGGTAGATCCAATAAAATAAGGTGTTTTTTTTTTGTTTTTTTGTTAATGTCAGCATCCTGAGAACAGCACTCAATTAGCCAGATATGAAGACCCATTACCATATGGCCACCCCCCCCCCCCCCCCAAAAAAAAAAAAAAAAAACAAAAAACAAAAAACAAAAACAAAAGAGATAAAAAAATGCTGATTTTTTTTTTAATAATGTTTCTCTAAATAATCATCATATTAGGCAATTTTGCTTATTTTGGATAATATTTGATCAAAATTGATACTCCTTAACAAACTTGATATATATTAGAGTTTTACCGTAAATGGTTCAATTTGATTTGGTTAAATAATTTATCGGTTAGGTGTACCCAATGTGCTTTACATCACACAAGATTAATCCAGCGATCAAATTGGAAGTTTTGCTAGTTTATTTCGAAACGGATCAAAGGTAAATATTATTAAAATGACTTATCGGTAGGGCGTTGATCAAGATAAGTTAATTGAAACGGGCTATTTGGACTAAGCTCGGACTTGACTCAGATAAGATTTGGTTCGAGCTCAATTCGTATTTTAAATGAACTAAGTTGGAATAATTTTTACTTAGCTCGAATTCATAAAGTTTAGTTCATTTATATACAAAATAATCAAGTTATTCGGGCAAGGCCCAAATTCAGACCCGATTTATTTTCTAAACAAGTTAAATTTGAACATTATTTTAGGCTCGTTTAAAAAAATGAACTCGACAAATTCAAATTCAAACTTACAAAACTCCGCTCGATGAATATTCTTTTTGTCGGTATATGTAATCTTCTTTTTCTTTTTCATTTTTTGGGAAGTGGGGAGGGGGATAAATATTGTAACGTTGACCCAAATAGTTACAAAAATTCACCAAAATTCTACAACTTCACACAAACTCTAAATTCCCCTTTTACAAAGAGGAAATTCTTTTTTATTTTATTTTTCTAATTTACATTCAATTAATCAAAGAAAATGAAAAGAAACTAAAATCATGAAATGAGTAATTACCTTATTACCCCAAAACTCACTTATAATGGCAAGTGAAACACACCATGAAAAACAGTGTCTTTTTTTTTTTTTTTATTCACAAGCATAGCCCATAAAACAGATACAACCCCCAATATTATTGTTTATTACCAAGACAAGTACCAAGTCCATTTCTTGTTTTTTGTCTAAGGCAATTATAGGATACGATATTACAAAGAGAAATTGCATATGACACTTTAATTACTACCATATTTTGTACGTAAATACTTCAGAATTACTAATTTATGACCAGACCCACCAGCTCTGTTGCTCTCCCTCCTCATGGTGTTGGCGGAGCACATCGGAGAAGTAAATCCGGCCATCATCGCTACCATCGTCCTCTTCTGATTGGACCCCTTCAACCGGTGCAACACATCCATGGTAGTCATTGGCTGTGGGAAAGTATGAATCACCACTGTCCACAAGCTGAGGACCGTCCTCATCCACCACTGCGCTTCCGCCGCTGCCGGTACTGAGGCGGTCCTCCACCTTCACGTTCACCGGAAGGGCGGCTGGAACATGGGCTTCATTCACCGGAAGTGGGTCTGGTTTCTGATCACCTGAGTTTGGTTCTCCAGCCACCTGATCTTTCCTTTCCAACTTCTCAGTCAAGGAAACAACCTGCGCCGGTCAAAGAATTAACACATGCAACATACAACCACTAAACAGTTTAATTAAAAGTGCTAGCAAAGCCCAACCAGTAGAGTTTCAACTGATTGAGTGAAAAGGATTAATAAATTTTTTGTCTTTTAATATGTAATTTTTGGCGGATTAATTCTCATTATATCAATTTTATTAATTTTGTCCCTAAAATATTTAATCCGTATCATTTTAATACCTACATATATGAACTATTAAATTTTTGACAGAATAATCACATCTTAAGGACGAAAAATGTTGCTAACTCTAACAAAAAGTTTAAGATCAAATCGTATTAGTTCTCATTCTTTTTTTTTTTCAAGGATAAAGGGTGTCCACGCCGGTTTAAGTACATTTTGATTAATTTTTTCTATGATTCAATCAAAGACGGACCATTTACTAAGATATTCATGAAAGACAAATCTCTCATAACCTAACCAAAAAAATTGTTAAGATTCGATCTTAAGACGTTAAGTTCATAACTCGTCTCTGTTTCTACTTGAACTATTCCTTAGAGTTATTAGTCTTTATTCTTGTTTGTTTGTTTAAAGCACGAATCAAACTTAAATCCAATTTTAGAGCTCGTCTCAACAACAAACCGAGCTTAGAAATTATCATATTCATGGTCAAGAACAAATTGACGAATCTAACATGAAGAAGATATTTAAAACTACGAGAATCAAGTACTCAAATAATCTGGTTCTTTGCGACTCTACCACCCAGTAGTTAGTGGGGTAGTAGTCATAAACTCATAAGGGAGACATGGTATCTAACCCACTATTTCTAAACAAAGTATTGGAATAGAATAATAAGCATTTAAAAATATTACTAAAATAAAATCACTATTTCTCATCTAGAAAGTTTTTTTTGGCATATTTTCGTTGAATCAAATAGGTATATTCGCCTTTAAGGAATTGAAATCCATCTTCTTCTTTTTTTAATCAAGGTGGGGTTTGGAACAGATGCTATTTTCTTTGCCACAATTCTAAAAAATGTATCTGCTGAGCTTAACAAATAGTATACACTTTGTAGCTAAGGTAGAATCTTATGGGAAGTCAGGATCCAGTACAGAGAGGTCCCAATCATACAGATGCCTGGTCAGGTGTCCATGAGATTATGACTGAATTATCCGACCCAATAAAAATTAATTACCATTTTTTTTTATAACAAAAGTCATTGTCTACCCTCTGATTAAAACATTAAAATTTCTTATCACTAGAAAAAAAAAAAACTCATATAGTTCCACAAAAATGATCCGTACAACTAGTTTGCACGAATTTCAAAACATATTTGATCCATCGTCTACAAGCATAGGAAACAGAACCATAACATAATATATATAAAGTACTATATCCTGACCGAGGATCCCGATCCTCTATAATATATTATTGTTAAATTATATTTAATAATAGATCATCCATTATATATAAAAAAGACCGTTTATAAATATTGGGTCTTATACTTGAATATGTGATAAGTAATCAAAATCGTGTGAAAGTGAAATTAAAGTTGAGACTTTTGGGAAATACATTAATTTCCGATTGTTGAGAGGAGGTAAATTTAAATTAAAAGTATATATACCTCAGTTTTGAGCTTCTGGTTGTCCTTGAGAATGGAGTCGTAGTCTGATAAAAGGGAGTCATAGGAGGACTTGAGTTGATCATAGTCCCGTTCAAGCTGTTTGGTCTTCCACCGTGCACGGCGGTTCTGGAACCACACAGCCACCTGTCTTGGTTGGAGACCAAGCTTCTTTGCCAGCTGTGTCTTTCGCTCCGGCTCCAGTTTGTTCTCTGTCTCAAAGCTCTTCTCCAGCAAGTGCACCTTATATATGCATATGTGCAAACCAATTAGCACCATTAAGTACTTTCTTATATATGCCATATGATCAACACATGATGAAATGTTTATAACTTTAGATCAAGATCTTTACATTAATTTTTCTAGATATGGGTTAATCTTTTTCTAGTATCATATTAGTATGCGGTAAAGAAAAACAAGAGAGAGAGAGAGAGAAGGGAATATGATGCTGAAATACTTTTGGATAAAAAAGTTTTAATATGAATATGAATATTAGTAGATATGTTTTTCTTTAGGGATGGAAAGGTGTGATATGATACTTAGATGCATATCGAATCAAACTGGTGGGTAAGTAGTCCACTACACTACTAACTTGTTCAGGATTGAGACGGCGCTTCTTTTCTGATAACTGTTCGTCATAATATTCTTCCTCGAACGGTTCATCGGGCAAGGTGAAAAAAGGCCGCCTCTTTGATATTTCCTCTATGTTCATCGTCGATCTTGCTCCTATACATATTGCCCACAATTTTTACATACAAATTTTAAAAAAAAAAAAGAAAAAAAAAAGAAAAAAGAAGAAAACAATAATCATGGCTCACTAATTCTTCAAGATCAATCTTGATCTAACCATTAAATATTTCAGATCTACCTGATGATGAGGACGAAGATGGCGATGATTTGTTGGGTTGTTGGGGCAAGTGAAGTAGTATGAGTTTGTGTGACTACTGTTATGTAATAAATGGGAAACATAAGAAGGATTAAAAGATCACCTCGAAAAACGTTATGATCACCATCTCTGAGGAACAACATGTTGCCTTGCCACGAGGGGTCGAAGAAAATACGACCGGAATCCATACTTGTCAGATCTCCGGCGATTGTGGTCAACGTCTATATATATACACACACACGTATAATATATATGTATACTTTCTGGCGAACTGAAAACTCTAAATAGATTAGAGTTGGAGAACTTGTAGTGATATATATTATACGTTTGATTGATGCGAAGTATTACGTTGAATTTCAGAAGAGCATGAGCTTGTGGCGAAAGAAGCTAGTACTCCACAGTAACCTCGCCGGAGTCTCCAAAGGACAGATACAACATCCCATCATGCGAACCACCTTACCCAGCTCCGTCAACCTCTTCCGGCGATTTCCGATTAAGGAATACAACAACAAAATTAAGGAGATATAAAGTAAGTGAACAAATTCAAAAGAGTGGATTGCAATAGAGGGTCCAGCCAGTGATACCGGCACCGTTGGGTCAGATTCCGGCGACGACCGGATGTTTGTTTCTCTCTCTCTCTCGTTGGGTTCTAGATGTGTTTTTGCAGCTAAAGTTGATAGAGGTGAGACCATGGCGCTTTATATTTGCTGCTTGTGGCCGTAAGTTTACGTAAATACCCTCTTGAATGTGACTTTTACTATAATCATGAATTTAGGACTTTTTTGGTATTTGGACTTGGTTCGTGGTGGACTTTAGAGGCTAGAAGGTGGGGGATCCACTATATTGCGCCGGAGGTTATCGGGTGTTCGATTGGATCTGGGCCGTTGAAATTGGAGCTATTGGGAATAGTATATATAGTTTGTGCCAGCCAGATCAAGAGAGAGAGATAAAGCCAATAAATAGCAGCCATGCTCTTCGGTCGGGTGGTTGTCGGACTTCTGATTCTTTGCAACTTGCTGCTACTCTAATTGTGTTTTTGTTTCACCCAGCTGTGACCGACCGTATGAATTAATTACCAAATCTACGGTAATTTTGAAATAAAATTATAAAAATTTTCAACTTATTTATTGAATTATGATAATTTTTAAAGAACATAAGAATAAGAACAATGTTGCGTGAACTTAAAAAATAAATTTAAAAATTAGACTTGATAATCTCAATTATTGATTTTACTGTGGGTCTCAGTATTTATTGGGATCCAATATTTATTCAATGGTTGAGATTATCAAATCTAATTTTTAAGTACATCTAGTATTGCTCTAAGAATAAATTCATTGGGCTTAACACCGCCCTTTTGCACCAAACTAAAACACTGAGTAGTTTTGTTTTGACTAAAGATTTAAAATCGGATTGTTAACTCTATTTTTTTAACAAAAAAAAAACATAAATAACCTCGATTTTTAAAAAGGGTCTTAGTTTGGGAGAAGAAGCGTGAATCACAGATACTATGGTTGTTAGTTAAGTTGTGTTTTTTGCTAGGCAAATTGGGTTTGATGAGATTGTGTTGGAAGGGGATTTATATGTGGTTAAGAAGAAGATCAACGATAACTCCGAAGATTTTTCTTCTTTATGTGCTATTATTGCAGATGTCCAATGATTTCTTTGTCTATTTATTTTGTCTTCTTCGTCCATTGTTAGGCGTTTTGAAAGTTGTGTAGTTCACCGATTGGTTCGCAAGGCTAAGTTGGGTGGAACTATTGATGCTTTTGAAGAGATGACACTAAATTTTTTGATTCAATTTCTTCTCTCAGACTTATCTTCTTAATTGAATTTCTACCGTTTTAATTCAAAAAAAAAAAAGGTCATAATTTAATAAATGAATTCAAAAATTCTGTAATTTAGTAATTTTGTTTCAAATTTATAGTACATTGAAACTTAATATGGTAATGCATCTAAAAATTAATGACACGTCTCAATAATTATATATATGAATTGTTTCATAACTCCAAATTTTACCCCAAAACACAAATATATTGTTTCATACAGTAAATTCATCTCTAAGTAAAAATTAATATTTTTAAAAAGTAATTGATCTTTATGCATCTTAATATATAAATAATGCTAAATATCATTTATCTGTATATATAATAATTATGGGTAATTCGTATCTGAAGATAAGGTGCAACGTAAGTGAAAAATAATAGATTTTTAGGTGGAGAAAAATTCAATATGAATGATTTTGAGATGGATGTTGGTGATAATTAGATAAGGCTATTTGAGACCGTCGAATAGACTTATTGAAGTCTACCCTAATTTATATTATAGGTACACATACAACTAAGTTTAGAGAAATATATCATAGTCGGCTAAATATTGGAAAAGAGTCAAAATAAGAAAAAAAAAGTGCTACTTCAAAAATAAAAATTTAATTAATTCGGATAGAAATATTGAATTGAACTTTCCACAACTCCCGTCAAAATTGCGTATGCAAATGCTTTCCTTACTAAGTACACAATTTCTTTACCTAATTTATGGGCTATTAATTCAGTATTATTATCAAATGTCATTTATTGATCAATGTCTTTAAGAGTAGATTGGAGAGAGAAAATGTTAATTAATTATGTAGCCACTTTCCATGTGTTGGCCAGTTGGGTGCAAGTGGGTACAATGTTGGAATAATTTTATTAATAAATAAAAAATAATAGAAAAATAAAACAACGAAAGTCCACTCTAGCAAGGGGAATGGGTTTCACTATTTTTCGTTGGTCGGTTTGTTTAGCAAGATAATACTAAAAAATACAAAAAAAAAATTTAAAAATTTTACATGTGTTTCTTTAGCATGAAATAGAAAATGATAGAAAAAATAATATTTTTTCATGCTTAAATTTTATCACATTTAACTAACTTTTTTTCTTGCAAAAACAAGAAAAAAAAATAAAATTGTGTTCAAAGATCAAACTTTCAATTGTATCCTTATTTTTTAAAAAATATTTAATTAGTTATTAATTTTAAAAAAGTTAGTACGAATTAGACTAACCATATAATTTGGAGATCAGGGTTTGAGTCAATTATTATCTTTGAATTAGATTAGGAGCCAATTTTTTAAAAATTTGAATAATTAAAAATATTTTTTCTTCTTTAGATCGAGTTAAAATAATTAAGGATAATTTAGACAATTAGAAAAAATTTCTTGTAACTTTCATTTATTTCAAACAATGGAATGAAATTATTTTAAAATTTTCTTAGAAGTTTTTCATGCTAACCAAATGCATGCATGAAAATATATTTTATTTCACTTTCTTTTCTTTTCTTTTACTTCACTTTCTATCTCTTTCATTTTTCATTATCTTTTTCTTACTAACCAAACGGATCCCAAAAGATAGCATACCAGAGGAATCCTTTTTGGGTAACATTTTTTACATTTACAGATTTATTGCAAAATTTAAATATCAATCACTTGGTAAGAAACTTAATAAACGAGTTCTATTAATATTTAATAATAAAAATTATATCACATCATTTGATAAGAAATTTAATAAGCATAGCATTATTGAAATTTATGGCTAGTCTCATATCCTCATCCACTAAGCATCAATTCTCAATTCTCACTCATTATTATATGGTTTCATTGACTATGGTATCAAAATTTTTTTGATACTGTACTATTTATTATTTTTTGGATATTTTTATCATTTTTTAGGTGAAGCTTATACTAATTTTTTTGGTGAATACACACTTTGAATTTACTTACTATTTTTTGGGTTTCTTTACCATTTTTTTAAATAAAAATTATCAATTTTAAAGATAAAACTTACTACTTTTTGAGACACTTGCTTTTCGGAATCCATTTTTTTTCTATACCATAGTGTTTCCCATGGATTCAAGAGAAAATAACCCATCTTTTCATTATGTTTACCAATCCATTTGACTTTCAAGTATTTATCAAATATGCATCAGTTTTGAAACAAAATTATCAAACTATAATTCATTTTTTTGAAAGTTTTTACCTCCTTTTAGGTGAAGCTTATAATAATTTTTTGGTGAACACATCTTTTGAATTTACTTACTATTTTTTGGGTTTATCTACCACTTTTTTAGATAAAAATTATTAATTTTAAAGATAAAACTTACTACTCTTTGAGCCATTTTTTACTTTTTGTAATCGATTTTTTTTATACCATAGTATTTTCCATGAATTCAAGAGAAAACTACCCATCTTTTCTTTCTGTTTATCAATCCATTTAACTTTCAATTATTTATTAAATCTATGATAATTTTGAAACAAAATTACCAAATTATGATAGTCAAATTGTTGTTTAACTTTCACCACTAAAAATAGCTGCATCAATTCAATATCAAATCAGTATCTAATATTCGATACGAAATCAATTTCATTGGGCATGAGTTTATCCTCAATAAACTTGAATCATAATCTTGTTTAATAAAGTATATCATCACAAATTCAACTATGCAATGCATGAATCTAACTATATACGTGTACATGACATGAAAATATGATATGAATTCGACTGCACATAATTATAAATAAATTATATCAAGTTAATATTAATATGACACGACCCATATATATACATTGTGCATACATGTGTGATGGCATTTCCTACTAATTTCAAAGGGTGGAGTTATGCCTCCTTTGTCTGTGAGTGTCAAACTTAGTAGCTTGAGTTCTGATTATTATAAGGAAATATTATTGAAGAAAAATGCATACATAAAGTGGAGGAACCTTTCTTTGAATGTGACATTTGGAGATTAAGAGGTAAGTTTTGCACCTTTGTGTCTGCACACAAGAGGAAGACAATAGTAGCTCAAATGGTAATAGAGGCGAACTGTAAATTTAGATGTTCTAAATTTGAATCTTAACAAGTCTTTGACGTCAGGTCATAAGGAATTTATCCATAATATATATCTAGTTTTGACGTAAATGATCTGTCTTTAACTGGACCGAACGAATTAATCGAAGTACTTGTAAGCTGACCTAGATACTTTTGACTGTTGAACAAAAAGAATATGTAGTTCTTAATATGGTTCAGGAACTTGACACCAAATTAATAGGTATGTATTTAGGTCTAAAAGACTTGATCCGTAAGACTAATCAAAGCAATGAGTCGTACAAAACTAATTAAACGTGACACGACTCAATATGACATGAAATGAAATCACATGGCTTAGAAACATATCCGGCCCTAGAGATAGGGTTGCTTTTACTATTCAATTCCTTCTCTGCTAAGGTAAGATACCACTCAAATGGGGGCATCTTTTGACTGAGAATTGATTGGAGATTTTTTTCACTTTTGTATGGTCATGGGGCTAAGCTTTAGAGAAAGGTGGGGGATGATGTAGAAGGTTAAACTCTTAGAAGAGCCTCTAATGGGGAGGTGGGTGGGGGGAATGAAAAGGGTATGTAAAGGAGAAGAGCACCTGAGGAGGAACAATGCTTTTGGGATATGTTTGGAGTGCAAGTGTGTGTATAGGTATGTGTGTGGCTGATAAAGATCTTGATCTAAACGTGGGAACATGAGCTAGTGCTGCTTTCTTTCCTTTTAAGTAGTGGGACTAATACAGTGACCTGCCCCACTGTTTCATATTCACTAATTCCCATCCTTTTGTCTTAAGATCCACCCCCCTCAAACACCGACACCACACACACACACTCCCACACCCATACACACTATTTCCTATAAATAAAAAAAAAACTTCCTAACATGAATAAAAATGAATTAGGTAGTTTTTGGTTTTTTGTTTTTTAACTTTGAATTTCTGATTCTCAAATTAGATATTGATTTGAACACAACATTATTAATTGTCGGGCTTGATTGGTGTCAAAAGATCTAACTTAATTAATTAAATGAGTCAAGTTAAGATATTGAAAATTATCAATGTAAAATGTCATTATTAGTGCGGTCACTTCGCTTCCTCTGTCACCGAGCCAAGGGTCAGTCCAACCCCTATCGGAGACGAGCTCTTTCGTACTTATTTTATAGAAGTGAATCCTTATCGAATCTCATAGCAAGTGGGTTAATTCTCTCATATATCAACTTGAAGGACAGATGAGAAAGATTGATGTTGATTTAGGTCTAATCTTATCATTGAATCATGATTCAACATGACTCAATTGATAAGGTTAAATACAGATGACTGGATGCTCCGAATTCTAATCAATGCAGATACACAATATTCATTAAGGTACGACACCATCCAACTGCTTCAAACTCAGCCCAACCCCAACCCCCAGTGCCACAGGAGAAAGGTTGTTAGGGATCATAGCAAAATTGGGTCGGGCCATACAATATCTTTCAAAATACTAGTCTGTGACATGATGTTGGGCACAGGCCCATAATTTTAGCAGGCCGTACCTTGTGCAAGGGCTGTAGTGATCCAAGTCAACCACAAATATGGAATAAGGATTTGCTTTGCTTTTATTATTTTTTTGGGTCTAGCATAATTATCAGGGGCTCAAGCCAATTTGAGCCTTAAAGTAGAAATATTAAATAGAAATTTTTTATGTGAAAGGGCGACAAAAGAAAGACGTGTTAATATTATCGAGAAAAAAATTTCAACTTTTATTTTTGTTTTTTATTACAGAGAGAGAGGGAGAGAGAGCTTTTAATTTAAATTTTTGTTTTTAATTTTTTTTACCAGGGAGAGAGAGAGTAAATATGAGTTGACTTTTGAGTATTTTTTTAATTTATAAGTTTTTAATGTTATGGATTGGATTATACACCCAAATTATTGTAATAAAATTTTTGATTGAATTTAGTTTTTTAGGGTTTTTTGTAGGGCTTAAAATTTAGTGGATTTAATTTTTTTGTGGACTAATGATGCACATAAAATTATAGGGCCTTCTAAAAATTTAGGACTTAAAACCCATGCTTTTTTTCCATATTATTGGACAGGCCCTAATAACTCGTGATCTTAAGGTGATGATGAGTTTCAAACTCGTGATCTTAAGGTCTAACAACGAGGTGATGACTATTAAGATTGACTTTGCTTCTATTAGATATGTGCAATGTATGAGATTATTTTCTACTCTTTAAGATGAGCTGGATGGAAGAAATTGATAGATAAGTAGCTCACCAAAAAAGTAGTCATCCCGTGAATCACACAGGAAACATGATAATCTTCTAACAAAGATTAGCATATATCATTCCTCACTAAAACTCTCCCTGACGCAGTATGAGTCCAAGACACCTTACCCACGGATGCTGATAAGTGATGAGCACACTCTTTAGGTAAGGTAAGGTGCCTGAAAGAGGTGACTAATACTAAATATACCCGTATTACATAGGATAACACACATCATAATCAGTGTAATATATGCATTCATACATGTCACACTCTTTAGAGATTGTTGAAATTGTTTGTTAATTTAAACGTTACGAGTTTGTTAATCGAAATATTACGAAACTCATTATCATTTTTAATTAAAAATTAAAAATAAAAACAATTGCCAAACTACCTTAAAATTGTGACCGAATATAATATAATGGGTATGTTTGGATCGTAAGTTAAAAGAGAATAACTCCAGTAGGATAGAATAAAAAAAATATGTGAAGTTCATATATTTCACGTTTAGTAAGTAAAAAATACATCAGAAATTCCATTCTAATTTTATCCCAATCCAATTTAAAAAGCTAATTTTAACCCATTCACAAGGGTTAAATAAAACGTAAGGGGAAAGGGCAGAGATTTCTTTTGTCAGATAGGATAACTAATACAAATAACTAAATTGTCATGATCTTTTCTCTCTCTCTCTCTCTCATCTACATCGTTGCCTCCTCCTATTTTTTTATAGATCTAATTTTTTTTTTCAACAAAAACCTCTGCCAACATACCTCAAGAAGACCAAGACAAAAGGCTCTTCTTTAACAACACAACTAATTTAAAACTATAATAAAGGAATATCCTATTTGGACTAAAATTAATTAATCATTAATAATAAAATAACTAATTAATAAGAGTTTGCATTAATAAACCAAACATGTAGTTGGAATGGATAGGTTAGGGGCAAAATAATCAATTGTATCATATTCTATCAAGCTTTTTTATGAGTCTCACAAAAGTACTTATATTATCTAAACATTGAAAATAATATGATATAACCGTTAAATCTTAAGCAGTCCAATAATAAATGAATTTAAATTTAAAAAATAATAATTTAAATCTCCAATACAATCCAATCCAATGGAATGACCCAAACACAGCGAATAAGGTATCTCATCAGCCTTATCCTCAGGTTCTGGTACAATTATTACGTCTAATTAAATTGGGTTGGTTTGTGTTTTCACAAATCCGCATGGGCGTACGGAATGTCTCCGTGTTGTTAGCCCAATATTCGCAACCACGAGGGCAGTGATTGTAATTACTCTCGAAAAGGATACCAACTCCGTAACCCCTCCAACTAACTGAACCGTCGGATTGCCGCGTCTCTTCTCTCTCTCTCTCTCTCTCTTCAAACCGCATGCACACGCACACGCACACTTCTTCATTGCGTAACAGAGAGAGAGAGAGAGAGAGAGAGAGAGAGAGAGAGAAAACAGTTTTAGCGCCGGAGAATTAAATTTGGTATTCCGATTAAGTAGGTGATAGGTTCATTGAATTACAAAATTTTATGTATATCTAAATCCTTTTTTTTCCTGTTTGATTGGATAAAATTCAATCTCTTTCGAAGATAATCGGATATATATATATATATATACATTCACAGTCATTTACTGCAACTCAAACTCCTCTTCACGTATATAACCTCTCTTTCACCCAACAACCTCACACTTTTCACCTCTCTCACTCTCTCTCATTGCAAGGATGACGAGCGCGGAGACTTCTCGGTTTATCGTTGGCGTCGTCGGTATGATCTTCAAATACCTCTCTATTGCTCTTTCTCTAACAAAATGTATTCGTTTCTACTTGTTCAATGCTGATTGAAGATCGCCGTTAGAGTTGAACATTGAGTTCGTGTTTTTGGAGAGTTTCTGTCATTATTAAACCACCTTATAGAGTTCTTACTATTACGTTTTCTTTCAGATTTTTGGATTACTGGATAGGAATTTGCTAATTTATTATGATTATGAAACGAATTGATCACATTTGCTTCTCCAACTGTTTTGATCGATCAATCGAGAGTTGAGACGGATATATATTCTGCAGAATTATTCATGTTGATTTATATGATGTATGCGCGCGTAGAGATTTGTGTGCATGTTAAATTCTATAATATATACGTTAAATCGTTTCTGCATTTATCAACATTCAATGCTCTAACCATTGTTTCGATTTCCTCTTTCACAGGTGACATTATCTCTTTCTTCTTGTTTGCCTCTCCATCGTATGCTTTCTCTTTCTCTCTCTGTCGTATCATTGTATGCATTTTTGTAAGATTAATTTCTTTATTTATTTTTCATATATATGAGAATGTATTACATTACATGTATATTTAGTCTAAAGGAGTGGACTCATCGCTTGACCCGCATTGACATTGGACTACCAAATATTAATTTCCTTTCTGATTGGGGGGATTTACTTAACAAAACAACTACCTATTACAGCAATGGAGTTGGAAAAGAATGGGGACAATTAAATAGAATGTGGTAAATATGAGTCATTGCAATAGTTTATTTCCTATATTGAATTGGAGCTCAATTAATCAATGACATGAACGAACGCAATTTTCCATGGATTCCTATAGGATTTTATTTACTTTTAATCATATACCATTAAAATTAACAGATTGCATTGTGTTGCAATAAGTCTCATAAAAGCATAATATTAACAAATCATGATTTATTGATTTCATGCATTTTTTCGAGGGAATATTATAAATCGTACAACAATATTTGTATGATGTGCAAACCCTTGATTCTAATGGTTCTAATACTGATTATTGTTCCTTGAATTACTGTAATTGGTTGATATTTCTTCGGTAAATAATTTAATGACGTCTTTACAGGCCAACTATTTTTAGAATTTATAAGAACAAATCTTCGGAAGGGTTCCTTCCAGACCCTTATTGTGCAACCGTGCTGAACTGTTTGCTATGGATCTTCTATGGTCTTCCATTCGTAACTCCAGATCAAGCTCTTGTGGTGGTCATCAATTCCATTGGGCTCGCATTGGAGTTGATCTATCTCACTGTATTCTTCATCTACACTGATAGTAAGAGGCGGGTAAGCTCTTTTTTTTGTGTTAATCAATCTTTCATGATCTTTTTTCTCTCCCTCTCTCTCTCTTATGGTATTTGAAATAAAATCTAGAAAAAGACTGTCATACCAAAATTATAATTTTTTAAGGTTAATTTGTATTTTTTTGAGATAAAAATTACAATTGAAAAAGTCATAACCAATCATCAAATTTCACGATCAGTCTTAGAAATCATAATTTTTAAAGATAAAATTATTACTTTTTGAGATTAAGTTACACCTTTTAAAGGTGAAGTTCCAACGCTTAAAGTAACTCTATAGTTGATCATTTCATGATATGCGGAGGAAAAATGCATGTGTCTTGAAGGGCATGAGTGTTTCTAAATGGACAACTTTCATGTATGGGTTTTAGTCAGAGTCTGGTGCAGGGTTATACAACTCAGAGATAACCCTGGCGTTCCTTCCCGTAACAGTGTTGAAAAGGATTATTGTGCAAAATTAATTTTAGTTTATCCTTGTTCATTTATTTCAGTGCCGAATTATTATCTGCCTAACGACCGAGGTGGTATTCTTTGCCGCCATTGTTCTCGCCACGCTGCTCGGCTTTCACATCCATCATCGAAGAAACATGTTTGTGGGACTATTCTGTGTTATCTTTGGAATCATAATGTACGCCTCCCCTCTTACCAAGATGGTATGTCTCTTCTAACTCCATGCTTTCACAACATCCATGTTCCTTTGTTTTGCTAAGCTTTTCATTTTTTATACAGGTGTTTTTTTTTTCTCATCCAATTAATGTGTCGAATTGTTTGTTTGCTTTCCCCTTATATCAAACAGTGGGACGTGATTAGAACAAAGAGCGTGGAATATATGCCATTTTGGCTTTCAGTAGCTAGCTTCTGCAATGGAGCCATCTGGCTGACCTATGCTCTCATTAAATTTGACCTCTACATCATGGTAAGTCTTTTTTTAACTATATGTTCTGATTATTATGGGTTATATATAAGTCGGTTATGTATAAGTTGGATCAACATTCTATTTGCTTTGTTTATAACTGCATATAGTCGGGTTTGTATCTTATTAGGTTCACATAGTAATGCATTGTATCTAGCTGGCTTTGTGTTGTATTTAGTTTAGTCGTAATTGATGCGGGTTTTCTATATGGTTTCGTGCAGATTGGAAATGGTGTGGGAGCTCTTTTTGGTCTTAGTCAGCTCATACTATATGCATGCTACTACAAGAGCACTCCAAAGAAAGATGATGAGAAGCCATCTGAGGTGCAGCTCCAAAATGCACCAGTTAGAGTGGCTGCTTGATTACTCCCCTAGTAATTCAATCTGTTTGTTTCCATTTGTTTTCATTAGATTGAGATTTTGATTGCCTGTTGTTGGAGGTTTACCATTTAAGAAGTCTTCTAAATTTTGGATTTTGTAATTAAAACACCATTTAATACTTGTGTGCTTCTAATTAGACGGCAATAAACAAAGAGTAAGAGTAATGCTATTTAAACTCAAAAATTTAATTTTATTTACTGACTTAATTCATTATGACATTTGAATTAAGTTTTAATAACATTACTCACAACAAAAATTTGTAATGTTTGGTCCTGGCTGGCCAAGCAATACAATAGTAAACAATGCATGTTTGGACTTTCAACATGTTGGAAGATCGCACATTAGGCCTGGATGTGCTTTCTCCATCCAATTGGGCGTGACCTCTGTTGGATAAGGATGCAAATCTATCCATCCCCATGCTAGACTAGGCTACTAGTAATCTTGTGTATTTCGGGCCTTGGAATTGTGTTCAAATTGGAATCAAGTGGTGGGTTTCGTGAAACCCAAGAATAAGTGGTTATGGTCACTGTTTATTTCGGGCGTGGAGTAATTTTTAAATTTTGATCTAATCATCTTATTTAATTTATTAATTTAATTTACTATTTTTGTTAAATTAGTAAGACAGCACAACATATTGTTAATCTAATGACAATAATAGACTTTGTGGACTAAATCATTTTTTAATATGATTTTTTCTTGAAATTTATGTACACTTCAATTCTTAATATTTAACTGGGTCAATTTTGCATTCAATCGGACTAAATATTCAAATTTTATGACAGATTTAAAGATTGGAATTGAAACTCTTATTGTTGAAGACACTAAAAATAATTTTTAAGCAGCTTGTGCAGCAAGGATGACAACATCATCACCGAGCACATTGATTGGGGCATATATTTGATATTTTTTGAAAAAATGAAGGATGAAATTGATAAATTCATGGAGCAAAGTTAAATATAAATTTAAATATTTAGAACCAATCCTTAGGATGATTTAGTGGTTAAATATGATATTTGATAATTCAAAAATTTTAAATTTTATATCTTTTCACAATTCTTAAAGACTAACTATCCTTATTTTTTAAGGACATTACTCTAATTTAACTCAAGTTATAGTAGCCACCGACGAGGTCGAAGGAATAGTAATTTCAACCCTCCACACCCTATAACAACAACGGAAAAAAAAAAACAGCCTCATATACACTTTCCTCAATCAACTCATCACATATAAAAAGGGAGGGGCAATATTAAACAAGACTAACGTCCACCACACAAAACCATGGTGGTTGTGACATTCACCACTTCTTTATCCTCCTATCTCCAAACCAACCTCCACTCCTCTTCTGCAACCCCACGCCATTTTTACACCATCACTTGTAAGCCCAGATCGCCATCTCTGCTCTACTTGCGCCAACTCTGTAGAAAACCCACGAGATCCAAAGCATCAAATCACAATGGGGTCTTGCTCGTTAAGGCTTACATGGACGAAACCAACTCTGTTTCCAATTTCGCCAATAAAGTCATTGGTGCACTCCCTGTTATTGGCCTTTTCGCTAGAATTTTCAACGATGAAGGCGGTGTCGGCGGTGATATCATCGATTTTGCCGAGTTTCGAAGGAGGGTAGGAAAGAAGTGTTCTGTGAATGATTCGAGAGCTTTCTATGAATTTCGAGATCGTCGAGCCCGGGTATTTATGATTTCATATTCCAATTCGTCTCTTCAGAGTATATTGCAATTTTAATTAGAATGTGATTTGGGTAACATTTTTTGGGTTTTTTTTTTTGTGGGTTTCTGCCCGATACTTGTTGTGCCCGTGGTTTTTAATTGAGGTAATTATCTACTTGGCCTTGAATTATACCTGTCTATCAAATCCCTCAATTATGTTTTGTGTCAATTTAGTAGCCCCGAAACTATGCCATTTGTGTCAATATGGCCTTTTCTTTTTCATCTAAATTCACAATTAACTTTGATAGATTTCCTCAGGATTATGTGAGTCGGGATTAGGGTATAGTTTTGAGGTCACGTGAGAAATTCTGTCAAACTTTACTACAAATTTGGACAGAAGGGCAATATTGACACAAAATTTGGTTAAATTGACACAAAACATAGTTTAGGGATTATTTGATTCACATAAATAATATAGTTCAGGGCAAATAGATAGTTAACTTTTTTAATTTTTGATTGCTACAATTTTGGGACAGTTTTGGAATTGATTCTTGTGATGGGCTTGTTGATGGGTAGTCAGGGGATCCTTTGTATGTACTGCTATGCTGTTGGTTAGCGGCGGTTGGTGCTGGTCTGCTCAAATCTGAAGAAATATTGGAGGGGGTAGCAAGGCTTCGGCTTTCGAATGATATCGAATTTGAAGAGCAGAATTTCATTGCAATGATGAATGAAGCAATAGAGGTTGGTTGATTAGTTAAATTTCATTTCATATTGGAAACATTCATTTTAGCTCATGTCTTGAATGGGATTGGATAGATATTTTGTCAAAGAGTAGAGGTGACTAGCTTTGATCTTATTCAGTTTATTAAGTTGTTGGAACTTCATCAGATGGTCTCACAGATTTGATTTTGTTCCAATATGGGTTGCCAAAGTACCTGCAAATCGGGTACGACATGATTTTCTTTAGGCTCGTCAATCGTATCGAGTGAAATGAGTTTATGCCGAATTCGTGTCATAATGCACTTTCACTTATATTCAATTCGTTTATTAATTCGTGTTTAATGAGTTGTATTATATCAGATTCGTGTGGTATATAATTCTTATATAACCGGTATAGAAACGAGTCATGTCATGTCGTGTCTGTGTTTTTTCTTTTTGATTAGTTTCACTCATACCTGATTCATTTATTAATCGTGTCATGTTGGATTCATTCGTTTATGAAACAGGTGGCTTGAAGAGGAACCAAATCTTATAATTTCGTGTCGTGTTAACGGTCGTGTCATATTTTGACACCCCTAATTTTCTTGCGAGACTCGAACAAATACTAACCCTTGTGGCCTGTTCTATACTAACCCTGTGGCCTTTCTATCCTGATGAATTTTATCGTTATATTTGTTTCTAGCTTCATACAGAACCCTATACGTACCGGCTACCAATTTTTATTATGCTACATTTGGATATTAAACTGGTATCAAGACCTGTATTCTTATCATGCTATACTGTTATACAGGGGCTGGGCTGGGGCCTTTGTGTTGTCTCCTGCCTGATCTCTACTTCCCCACATGATGTTTTAACTATATCAATTTCGCATTAAGGAAAATTGTTATCAAACGTAGTAAAATGTGAAATTAGCATAGAATCAAGTTGGTGCATCCAACCATAGAGTTCCTTCTTCCCTCTAGTTGTGTTTCTGTGGAGAAACAAGAACCTTATTTTAGTGAAAAGTGATTGATGGCTCCCTCAGATACACCTTATTGAGCTCATCATCAACAGTTTGTCGAGCAGAATATCATATGATTATGTAGCTCATCAACAGCTTATCAAATAACAACATATAATAAGGAGACTGAAGACGATTGTCAAAAATTCTTTTTTATGTCTCAGCAACAGTTTTTTGAATCATGGAAATTTTTAACTCGTCACACACTCATGAGATTTGTTCCCCGTGTTCACCTGCAGAAGCGGGCGAAACTGAATGCTCCTACTCCCTCTGTTCCAATGGAGATTCGAGCTGAGAAAGCTCTAGAAGCTATTTATGTCTGTTGCTTTGGGAGGGACACTATTGAAAATGAAGATGAGAGATTACTATGCATCATTCTTAATGCTGTTTTCCCCTCGGTTGGGCCACCAGAGATAAATAGGATTGTCAAAGACAAGGCAAAGATTGTGGCTGAGGAGGGTGAAGAAGACAAATATCCAGAGCCAAAGCGCTTATCAAAAGAAGCTGTACAGCTGCAAATGAAGGACCTCGAATTTCTTAAACAAAAAACTGAGACTTAGCAAGCTGCTTCATTTGTTATGACTCTTAAAGTTTCATAATGCCATGGAAAATAGGTTTTCTTGCAATGACTATGGTTCTACATAGTCAATTTAGGAAACAAGTCGTTAGACAGCATAACATTTTGATTGATACTTTATTCAGAACGGCAGGGCCTATACCGAAACCCTAAACCATAAACCAGATTGGTATTTTGTGAGAAGATTAAATGGGTGATTAATGTCAAGCAGGCGAAAATTTCCATCTTTATAATGAGCTATTCCACTATGTTGTAGTCTTGCTAAAAAATCATTTGTTCCATGTATGGCATCACAACCAGTTCAACACACAAGAAAAAAAAATGGCATCACAAGATTGAAAAGAAAACCTAAAAGACATGTTTGGCTCTACGATTGAGTAATTAGTTCTCATCCAATTTATAAAATTGTGTCAACAAGAATACGATTTAATCTTATCCTTTTATAACAAGATTGAATCTAAGTTAGGATGTATGTATAAATTTATAATTATAATACCAAATTTATGTTTGGATTAAGTAATAGTGTATGGTATTAAATTAAAAAGGACAAAACAAATATTGAGGGTAAGAATTTACATAATGTGTAACTTTTATATAAAAGTGTGACTTTAAGTTTGCAAGGATAATAAAGTCATTACATTTTTAATACTTATCTTATTAAAAATAATATCATCTACTACATAGTATTCATTACTACCTAATATTGGATATTAAATGACAAAAATGAACAAAATTAATACCGGATCGCTATAACCTTATCCAAACTTAGTATTATATTGTGATCAAATTAAATTAATCAAATCCACCCCCTTAATACCTAAACCAAACATACCTAAAAAGGTATTTCAGATGTAGGATAGGTATAGAAGTTATGGCATATTTTCGTCTTGAACCAACTCTCCATAACACTACCATGTCGTCGTTCGCGGGGTTTCTTCCCCAATAAACTGGTTCCCTTTCTAGGGTGTGTTTCCACTCAGCTGACTGAACATCGTCAAACAAATCCACCTATGAAAATGCCAATATGCCCAATGAACAATCTACCTTCAAGAGAATATTCTCAACTTTGGACTACACAAAATATAACCAACCAACAACTGAAATATAACTACTGTCAATGGGATCAATCAAATGAACAACGAAACAAAATTATTCAATCTGATTCTCCTTCAAGAAAGATACATAGCTTTTGGACTATCTCAAGATGTAATGGTCATGCAATGATGCAAACACTGCCTTACAAAACTAATAATGTATGATCCTTTTGGAGTTCCAAGAAATTGTTCTCAGATAAAAGAACAGAATAAGCAACATCCAGAGGTTGTCTTCCCAGCATCTGTGAGTATGCCAAAGAACTTGAAGGCCCTGTTATAGTGGCGTTGCAAATCCTGTCAAAGGCAAAAGGAAACTTCATCATGTTGCTTTAAACATTCACTACCAATACTCTAACCCATAGATACTGGGATCGTAGATACCCCTAGCATCCTACGAACCGGGGGTCACATGACCCGAAAGAGGGTAGATTCGCGATTCACATCGCTCAAAGTCCCGACCCCAAATTATAACTCAAACCGTAAATTGATTCATGATCTAAGTAATCTCATATGAAAACCTCAATCCAAAATCATAACTCTAACTTGTTATTTCTTTATTTTGGTATTCTTTAAACTTATATTATGCCAATATTTATCAAAAATATAAAATAAATATTTATTGACTAAGTGTATCCGCATATATTATTTTATATAGAAGTTACAAAACGAAGCACGATCCAAAACAACATACCAACTAAGCCTACCCTTACCATACCGTGTATTGGAACAAATATCATACTATATACCCGTACCACGTACTAAATCGATCCACGATCAAAGTAACCGTCTCTCTAACCACCAACCATCTAACATTAGATGATAAACCAACACATCTCCATTAAACAACTTATCCTATGGATACGTGTTCATTCTTGCCCTTTATTTTCGTGTCTCAATTTGTCTAATATATTTTCAGCCTCTGGTAAATGAGATATGCAGCGGCAGCATCAAGTCTGCACCTAAAGGCAATACAGCAAGAATATGAACGCATCCCTGGTCTGAAGCATCTCACGTAGCAAACTGAGCACAGGTGTGTCAGTGCCCTGTTAATGCTATAATTCCAACGGGGCAACACCTGGGGAGAAATTAATGAATACAATCATGGACTTCAGCAGGAATCTTGTTAAAGGCATAAGAGCTCTCTTAAACGAAATACTCCACGCACTGGTAAGAACATTTTTTTATCTGAAATCACTTCAAACCCATGCTCTCATATCTTGCTCAACTGTAGCTTTCGGTAGCATTTTTATCCACCCCACCCTGACCCACCCCCCAAACCTTTTTTCCTCCTACCTGAAAAACAAGGCCAGAATGTTTGTAGCTTATAAGTTCTAGCACACATACACTAAGAAAAAGATAAAAATAAAACAAATCTTGTCTTGGGTACAATCTCAGAGAATCCAGATTCAAACTAGATGTGCAATCTCCATGACTGTTGTAGTAGTCCTTATAGAAATGCATTTCAGATATGAAACAATCACAAGATGCACCCGAATGGGAATATGAATGGTTAGGTATAAGACGTCAAAGCAAGAAGACGATTAGTGGTTGGAGAAAAGCTTAAATCATGTCGCTTTTTCAAATGGTCATCTTCTAAAGTTGATAGCGGAAAAGTCCCATTGATTAGTAGCTTCCCAGGTAAAAGAAGATAAGCTCAGAAGAAGAATACAACAAAATGGCGCAGAAAAAGGGCAAAAACACTAAATGGCCAACATGTATAGGGAATAGAACCAAAATGCAGCTCGCCATGATACTCTCTAAATTGTCTAGCTGAATTTGGAGACTAATCCGTATCCACAAAGCAGTAGGGCACCACTTATAGGCATTCATTTTTCTAGTAATTTGCTCCAGAATTCCAGTCCGCTGATATAGATATTCATTTTTTCCTTCGGAATGCAGGATCAAATCCAACAGTTTTGTATTGATGGATGTCATCTTTATTTGTTATATGCAGTTGCTCAAACTTATAATCTCTTCTCAGAGTTAAGAAAGGTGTAGAAATCCCATGTCTTGAATCCTCTTAAACATACCGCTCATACACAACAACTATCTTCTTGACCCAGTACGGCATCAATACGATGCAAGCTCAGGCGGGACTTCCATTTTCAATAACCCAAGCACAACAGCTAGCAACAGCATTTTCAATTGTACAATGGCTTCAAGTTCAGTATGTTGAAACAACGCTGAATCTACAGGCTAAAGAAGGCTTTTCGTTTTTAAAGGATAAAAGTGTGCACGGCAATATGAATAGATTTGTGCTAAACACTTTGTCTAGATTTGTGACAACCCAACCCAAAAAAAACATAACATAAAATCGTCATTAAAGCCAATGCAAATCCACACCTTTTCAACTTCCATCAATTTGAGATGGAGAAGTCAATTGTGATGAAAAGAGCAGAAAGTCTACCAACAAAATCATTATAAAGATAAAAAAAATAGATTGCAAAATAACAAAATGACAACAATATTCAAGCAAAGTATGATCAATCCATGGAACAATTTTAAACCCAAGGTTTATAAATTAGTCAATATAGAAGCACTTTCAGAGTTCTTCGGGAAAAATGAGACTAAAAGGAAAAAAAAAGACGGGAAGCTTTGAGGAAAGTACCTTCAGAAAGACAACCCCATTGACCAACTTCTGAAGAAAGTAAGGACTTGAGCAAAGCAGAAGCAGTTACAGAGTGCAGAGGCATCAAAGATTGAGCACAAACCAACTCCACTGGTAGCCTACAAGTCACCCATTTGCAAAACCCATTTAGAACTCAATAAACAATAATGCCCAAAACAAAAACTTTCGAAACAAACCCATAAAAATTTGCGTATATATATGCATATACGTATCGACAGACCTGGAGGAGAAGAAGGAATGGTGGGACCGACAAAGGCGAGAAGAAGGAGTGGGGTTCGTGGGTGGGAGCCCACCGAACTGGGATCTAGACGAAGCAAAGGAAAGTGGAGATTGGGTTTTTCGGCAGTCAAAGAGAAATGATTTGGCCGATGTTGTGGATCTTTGAAGAAAATTTCTTGCAGAATTGGATGCCATTTTCTTCTGTGACCCAAAGATCTCACTAGCCAGATAGCTTAAACCCTAGTTTATGATGGTGACGACAGATGATTGGAAAAAGGCAGCAACCGCACACCAATTGGCCTGTCTAATAGTGGGCCTGTCTACTAGCTACTGGGCTAGGCCTATGTTTAGTACCACCGGACAGCATAACCGAAAAGTATGAGCTATGTATTTAATGTTAAAGTCAAATAAGTCCTCCAAAATGTACCTATTAATAATTTTTCATCGCATTCCTTCATCCTTCTAGTCCAATGTTGGATTTATAAAACATTTCTACATATCGATGCATACGGCGCACAGCTAGGGCAATGGTATTGTCTTATCTATATAATAAAATATAATATAATTTAAAATTTAAAAATAAATAAAATAATTTTTATTTTTTACATTTGAATTTTTTTTAAATTATATTTTAAGTATTATCCGACGGCTAATACTAACACATCAAATTTAATAGGAAAATAAACCCATAAGAGTGTGTTGAAATAATTTTTTAAAAATATTTTTAATATTTATAACTTTTCTTAAGTATTTTAAAAAAAATAATATTTAGAACTATCCCACCACCACTACCACTGTCATCACCACACCACCATCTTAGCTTCAACAACAACCACCATTGTCACCACGCCACCACTACTACCACACTCGTCGCCCCACCACCACTATTACCACTACCACCATTCCTATCGCCCCATCACTACCATTATCACCGTTGCTGCCACCATGCCCCCACCTCCACCCCCACCACCGTTGTCCTCCCACCTCCACCTCTTCTATAACAATCATCATCATCATCGTTGCCGCCACCACCATCCCATCACCACTGTCGTCCACCATCACTACCACTGCATGATCGAACTATAATTGGTGCTTAAATTATTTTCTCTCTCATTTATCTTTATAATTTGATTTTTGGTACAAATACAAATATGTTTATTATTGGCCAATTTTTTTATTATTTTGTGCTTTTAAACACGAGAAATAACTAATAATTTTAAATCGCATAAGTTATATCATGTTAAAATTTATTAGATGCATAATCAATCAATTTATACTTTCATTGTCATGGTTGTGTTGTGTCGGATATTGAATGTGTTTAGTTACATTCACAGTTCACCCATTGTGTCGATTTTGTGAATTGTGTCTATAATTATTCAGCTTATTCACGATCAAACGTTAGCAATCCATCTATATATGTAATTGGCATTACGGGCTATGGAAGTACAGGTTTCTACTATGATGAATGAGACTTGAGCCCAAAAATTTGATACGTGCAACCATAGACTCTTCTCATTTTCCTATATTCAACTTTTGTTTCACCTAGGTAAGATTTTTTTTATTTCTTTTTTAGTTTATCGTCAAAAATGTTCGGGATCAGCTTCCGCGCACCTTGACTTAATCCTTTTTTCGATTCAGTCAAAAACAGAACATCCACATTAAGATTAAGATATCTATGAGATATAAATTACTCATAATCTAAAAAATTGTCAAAATTTAAACTCAACACACCTGAATTTACAGCTCGTCCCTCTTACTAGTTAAACTACAACTTAAAAGTTGTGAACGCAAGATTAACCCAAATGTTTGATACAATCACTTGGAAACTTCACCACTCACCACTTAGACTGGCCAAAGAACAGATATGTTGGACACAGATAACTAACAGAGTTTGGATTCAAGTTCTGCAAGAAGAAGACGATAAATCCCTATAATTCAACAACAAACAGGTTGAAGCCGAAGTTGAATCAAGAACCTGATTTTTCGTAACCATTGTCGAAGTACATTTCACAAACATCCACCTACAAGTGCCAGAATGGCACCCAGATGCATTTTTGCAACATCTTTCTCAATCTGTATCCACTTAGCATTAAGCCAGATCTTGGAAACGAGAACTTGACTAAAAACAGTGAACAGTATTTCCATAATATTCATTTTATTTAATATACCATAACAAGAGTCTTAACATCTTAACGAAAATAAACAACCATAGCAAGTTCCTTTTTCACATCTGATTGTGTTCACCAGTGGTGCTTGGATCCTACTTTGTTCCAGCAGCTTCTTTGATAGCAAGCAAGGTGCAATCATACGTCCTCTCGCTGTAATAACTCCAATATTCTTTCTTCCTAAACGGGAATTTTCCTGTGCATCATGCGAACAAGATGACCTGGAAAACAACATAATTAACACTTTTTCCTATCTCATAAACCACAAAATCCACATGTTGCCTGATTCAAATGCTTTGGCCCCAGAATAGCGGAGTTGACAACGTTCCAGGAGTCACTCCTCCACGACATTGACCAGTTCATACTCGACCAGTGAAAGGTTATTGTCTTCTTTAACATTAAAGCTTGCTGGTTCAGTAACTTCAACAAGACCCCACTTGTCCACTGCAAGCCTCATTGACCCCTTAAACATGTCTATTTTTGCATTGCGCAGAATTACTGTAGTACCAGGCTCCATCAGGTCCACTGTACATGATAGTGACAAATAAACACAAACCAGGCTCAATTCAACTGAACTTCAACCAAAATATAAGACCCGTAACACGTGAGGAAAACAAAATTGTTGAATTTTTCAATGGCATTTTGGTCACATAAAAAGAGCAGTAAAAGAATGATAATAAAATTAGGACTTCTATGAAATTGCGTCTAAAAAGTAGGGTTCATCCTCATAAAATTTCAATAGATATTAATATTTTTTCAACGGGACCAAACAACCCATGATCAGTCTACACATGTATGGTTGCACTATACCAACTGATACCTAGAGGACAAGGCTGTATTCCTACAACAATCTTGTGGTTGGCAGCAATAGCAGACTGATATTCATTACAAAGATAAGTATACTCAATTTATTTCCACTACATTCAACAAAGCTTTGTCTTCACTACTTCAAGCCCTCTACAGATATTGTTTCCAAAACCCAACTAAGTTGCTAGCAAACAATGGATGAAATGGAATTTCTAGTGGGTATAAAACCCAACTAAGTGCATGACACAACATACTGAAACAATGGATATAAATCCAATGTGCTATTAAAATATGAATTCTGAACGATGCAGAAGCACATCATTCGTTGTGATGGGTGCAAAGGCAGAAGTGGAATTTCTAGTGGGTAGTCAACTACTAACACATGAAATGTATCTTCTAGAATAGCAAAATAAATGTCAACTTTATGAAATAAATAAACTCCATGTTCTACAGCATATTCAGAAACATTGATCAATATAATATAAGTTCCACTCCAATGAAATCTCTTGGCCCCACCAGCCTCATATGGCCTCCATTATCAATGGCCAATGGGTATGTGGCAAAACCAGAAAAAATGGAACATATAGATGAATATCATGATGCGGAGCCCAACTTAAAAGAAGATTTCACTAATTGGCATGGCCTGATAATGAGTGGGAAAAATATGCCTTAAGTGGACCTAAGTGGCAGGCAAAAGATACATGAAACCATGTTACAATTGGGTTCCTTTACAATGTGTTGCTGATATGGTATTGGTCTTACAAGTAACAAACACAACACCATTAGCACATTTAAGATCTACAAAACCTCAGTTCCCCACCCCACAAAAAAAAAGCAGAAATAGATGAGAAAAAGGGAAAGAATACCATAAAAAACAAAAGCTCAGACAGAAAGAATAGAATAATATAGGGGAAAAAAGCCAAGGACGGACAACAAATCAATTCCTTTTAAATTCTAACAGTGCTCAAAAAGGTATCAACTCTCTCAAGTCTCAAATTTCGATTCTCTTATATCCATCTTATCACATCAAGCATCAAAAATCAAAACATAAAGACTGCACACAGTGGGTGGAGAACAATAGACAGCACACAAAGACTTTAATGCTACTAATTATTCCCAACAGAGAATGAAGTAACCAAAAATCAATTTGTGAATCCATCACTACCTCAAACGGGAATCATATCCCCCACCCAAAACAAAAAAGAATACCTTGGTTATTCCGCGCAGTAAATACAATAGTCCCACTGTCATCTCCAACCACGCATTCAGCGATCTTCATTTGACGCACTTGGGGGCCATCTGGGCGGCCCTTCTGCAATACCATATCCGAAGTGACAACCTTCACTACTATATTGTGTCCACTGGTGCCAGGCCTTAGTTGATCAATCTTGGTGAAAACTGGTTTCCTCATTGCTGATTTTGTTTCAGCCATCTATTACAAAACTCAAAACCATCAAAATAAACAGACAATATTATTTCTTCTCTATGAATAAAAAATCGATGAAAGGGTTCATAACAACAACAACAAAAAAAACAAAAACTAGTCATTTTTGCGAAACAACAAACTTCAAAAACAAAAAAAGACACTTTGAATTCACAGAATTTAATTTTTGATAGCATAACAACGCATCCCCGCACAGTCAACATAAACCAAAGAATTCATCTTAAATGGTTATGGAAAATATGGTCACAATAGAATTTTATGAATTTGCTTGCTTATTCGACAAATATGCTTTTGCAACAGCAACGGCAACTAGCATAGCAGACCCCAAAGATGGTACGAGTGATATGAAGATGGAAACATGAAGAATAAATTGAAGCAAAGAAAAAAACTCAGATCACGAATAAAAAATACATCCGATTCAAACATTGAATTAGACGATCGACATCCATATCAGTCCAAAACCTAAATAAATCTTCGTACAATGAACGGAAGAAATTTTCAGAATCGAAGACAACATGACGCAGAAATCCTAATCTTCAGAATTACACCAATGTTGCGATTATAATAAATAAATAGAACCTGAGATTCGATTTGTTACCTAATCCGCAGTTGAACTTGGGAGTGGAAGAGAGAGACTTGAGGGTTTCAGAAATGGATCTGCTTTTTCTACAGCGTTGTGAATTGTGTTTTGGGGGCGACCGTCTAAATCGATTTATAAACGAAAGCTTCTCCATTTATGGCCGTTGATCTTCAACATTTTCTCAACGAATCTGAACCCTACACTCTTCAACATCAGCAGGCGTGACGTTTATGGGCTAAATTACACATTGACCCCCTCAATTATGACTTTTACCTTGTCTCCTAAACTATCATATTTTTTAAGGTTAATAGTATTTTTAGTCTTAAAGTATGTATTTTTTGTCAGTTTAGTCCTCAATATATCAATTTTAACTTTAAAGTATTCAATTTGTGTTATTTTGGTTCATACATAAACGAACCATTAAATTTTTTACAAAATGATTATGTATTGTGCACGTAATACCGTTTTAAAAAATGATATGTGGTTATTTCGGTTAAATACTTATTGGATTGTCTGATTAGGCACAAAAATGACACGAATTGAATATTTTAGAGACCAAATTAATAAAATTGATATAATGAGGATTAAATTGATTAAAAAATACATACTTTAGGGATCAAAAATGCATTAACCCTATTTTTTATTTTTTTCTCTCAACTATGTGATTAGTTTCACATCGTTGCAATTGTTAATGTTTGTTACAAATTTTACTATTTTTTTTTTTACTCCTGGACTATGGAAATTTTTTTCACTTTATCCCAACATATAGACAAGTTTTGCTAAAAAAAATAATAGATGCTTGTGATTGGGACAATGTAAAATAATTCAAGTAATTGAAAGGATAATATAAAAAATATAATAGTTGAGTGATAAAAATAAAATTAAGTCCATAATTTGGAGAACTAAAATGTAATTTACCCCATACTTGTGTAACTTTTTTTTTTTTTTTTGTGTAACTTCAAAGTGCAGTTTGGATGGCACGTTAAATACCTCCGAATTTCATCTATATCACTGTTGCAATGAATATTTTATCGAGAGCACAAAGCACGTTGGCATGGCGGATTGCTCATGATATAGGCACCTCACTATTGTGATATACTAAACTTATTGAGTAATAGATGGCATTTCAATTGGAATCCAATTTGAATTTGATCATCTGATATTGTTTATTATGTTTAGGCAATGATCTATGTATGTAAAAGTTTATATTTTACAAATTCAAACTAGATAATTAGGGTAATTTTAAAATTATATATGTGCATATTAGTATTGAATGGTTATTTAATAAGATTAAATTGATATCTAAATGTAGATTTGTTAAAATTAATTGATTAAATTTGAAAAATAAATATGAAATGTATTGAATAATGAGATTAAATTTGGATAAAAAAAATTTAAATCAAATTTGAATGAAAAACTCTGAGGACTATATTTGTAATTGACAAATTTTTATAAGTCATGTGAGTCAGGTCCGTTTAACACTCAATCAAGGGATCTTGAAGATTGAAATGACTTATTCAAGTTTGCTGATAAAGATTTCAAGTCCAACTGATTACAATCACACACCAATTTGATGTGGTATGTCTGACTAGAGATTTAAGTTTGATCACATCCTTAATTAAGGTTAAAATGTTGCTCAAATATTTTTTTTTTTTTCTCGCTATAGGGTATTCAGATTTGAGTCGACTACTCTATCGAGTTCAGTGACTGCCACCATAGCTTGACCTAAGTTAGTGTCCTTAAGGACTTGTGTTTGATGAATTTTGGGAAGGAGTTTGGATTGATTTTTCCAAATTTTTTCAAATTCAAATCCCTCTTTGCAAAGATGGGATTCAACATTCAATTCGGTTCATACTCATGTTTGATATTCAACACATACACATGTAATAACCCACGGATATATTATAATTATTAACTATTTATCCTGTAAATAACTATTTTACTTTTGATCAATCCAATTCATACCCTTGTTAAGGAGTACAATTATTTTTTGGATCCTTAACTCTTTACTCATTTTCCTAAACCCACCCCTCCCCTAGGTTTGACGAAACTCATAATCATAGGTTTAATCTTTGAGTCAGCTACAGAGCGGATTTGAAAACCTGGAATTGAATTTTTCATACAAACATGAAATTTGTGGGAGTTTTGGACTATTTTTGTCAAATCCATCTTGTCAAATCCTCCATACTCCCTTAACAAACAGCCCCTAAAAAGATAAGGATGACTAGCTTTTAAGGGGTATGAGAAAAGATTGAATATGAGACCTCTGAATTACCAAAAATTAAACTCAACCACTAAACCACCCTAAGACCCAGTTTAGAAGACGATAATCTTGATTGGGAATGAGATTCTCATTCCTAAATCCTAAATTATTATGTTTGGAGAGTCAATTATTTAATAATCTAACTCGGGAATAATATTATGGTAGTAATCCAATTCTCAATACTGGTGGGTATCCTAAAACCATGGTCAAATATGGTAATCCCATACCTACATTGATTAGGTATTCTATATAAGGAATAAAAATTCCAAAATGAAATTCTTTTCTAAAATTAACTTTATTTCAAAAATTAAGTTCTCATCTTAAAATTAATCTCTTTTGTAAAATTAAATTATTTCCTAAAATAATTTGAGAATAACATTAATTCTCACACTAGATTACTGACAATAACACCCGGGTATCTCATTATTATACTCATTCTCAATTAAAATTATTGTCATCCAAACATGCCATAAAAGGTTAAATATTACTCAAACTTGATTTATGTAATTTTAACCAAACAAAGATTTTGGTGAATTGAACAAGATTATTTGGAATAGTTTCAAAAAAATTTAGTAGTCACCACTTGTTTGGTGCTCTCTATACATCAAGGTTTGTTTGATTGTTTCTCAAAGACTTGCTTTTTCTGCGTGATGTGAGATAAGATTATCTGCCAATGCATAGTGGGGTGTCAATGGCCTCGGGCCGAGCCTGGTATAAGCCTAAGTCTGGGTGAATTATCAGCCAGTTGGACTTCGAGCAGAGATAAGCTACCTACAATTCAATTCGTCACCTATTAGGTAAATGTTGTGGGTCACCTATTAGGTAAATGTTGTGGGTGAACTTTCTAGGCAGGCCTAACTGGACGAGCTTGTTTACTGGGCCTGTTAGGCCGCCTATTTTTTTTTTATTGGCTCTGTTGCGCAGAAGCATGCTTGCTGTCTAAGGTTGACTATCTGACACGAAGAGGATTGGAGAAAGATGTAACCTCTCAACCATGTGCTACAGGTCCACTAAGACTCATGTGCTGTTGTATTTGAAAAAGTTTGACAGAATTCTCAACTACCTCTCAAACTCTCACCTCCTTCTCAAAGTTTAACAGAATTTTCACCTACATCTCAAATTCTAAAAATATTTGTTCGAGCTGGGTAGACGGGTTTTTGTGAGCAAGTTATTGGGTCCGGTTTCAGTTGAATAGTGGAATTAAGGGTAAATTCAAGCTCTTTCTTATATGATATTAGGCTTGGACTTGGACAAATTTATTGAATTTTAAATTTATTTTTTAAGTCGAATAACAAAATCCGTGAATAATCCAACCCATGAACACTCCTACCAATATAAATCCCACAGATACACACTAGAACATACCATATAAGTTGTAGCCACGTTAACCCAACCAAGTTTCCAACATAAGTTCATACTGGGGCATTACAACTGCTTCAGATGAATGGCCACGTTGCTGTAAAATCAATAGGGAGGAAAGTCATTAGCCAGAATTTTGCGTCCGTCCATCTGTATGCAACACTCGTGCATATGATTTTGGGGGAATCTCACTTTGCACCCTAAAACATTTAAGCTTTTCCATTTTATACCTTTAAAAATGAGATTTTTTACATTCTACTCTCAATATATTAAAAGTGTTCTAATTTGACCATTCCGTTACTTACTTTTGCTTATTTAATAAAAATCCATCCTATTAAAATTCACGAAATGAGTAACATAAACTAATAAAAGAGTCGCATTACAAAATTTTTAACACATTAAAATGCAGTTCACCCTATAATTTTCAATTCTTCCGTCTACAACACCCCTGCAATACAACACCCATGCATATTGCATGAGTGTTGTAGGCGGATGGAATGACCGCACCGCATCGCCCACCATATACTATAAATAACGTGCAATAAGTTCAGCTGTTCAGTGTCAAATTCTCGTGCATAAAGTCATGGAAAAGGCTACTGCATTCCAAGCGCTACTTGTACTTTTCCTTGTGTTAATTGGTTCTGGTTGTTCTCTCTCGCACACACAAGCACGATTTATCCACGTCACAACACAATGATGAAACATGATCATAAATGAGTTGCATGTTATAATTAATTGAGAAAATCTTGATGTTACATGACTTGCATGTTTTGAAAATACAACAGGACACACAATGACAATATACACACAACACACAACACAGATCATGATTCATGATACCATTTGAATTGTTATGATACGTGAAATGACTGATGAATTACTGGCCTCATGCAGGGTTTGAAACTTCAAACGCAGAAGGAACTGGAAAAGGAATCCTGCACTCCTGCAATTACTGGCTATGTGCAATGTCATGCTACGGCAACGCTGGACATTGCGTTGATGGAAAATGTAAATGTGACTTTAATAAAAAAAATATAGTGTAATTTGAAAGCATATATATTAAAAATATTTGATGCAAAAATTTGTACTTTGTGTTTGGTACGCTGCGTAACCTATTGTTCCGTTTTGATCTATGGCAAAGGGCCAGGTTCTGTGGAAGTAAAACACTTCCAGTAGTAAAGAAGAAAGAGAATGATCATTAATTTAATCAAATGTGTGTGCCTAAAGAGAAGATGATGTGGACTGCCACGTGTGTTAGTCACTGTTACGATCTAGACAGTAACGTTAACAGCCGCACGATTACAGTACAATTATAATGACAGTAACAAAGATAATAAATTTCATCGTCACGTCCAAATTTTAAGATGTCAATTTGAAACAAATTTTGCTTAATATATGGATCAAGCTCACACACCGTGAACCAAAGGGTCCTCCCTCATTTCGAGTTTGTATTAGAGTCACTCATAACAACCTCGAAAAGCTATGGCATTGTCATGAACAGCTTCTATGAGATTGAGCCGAGGTACTTTGATTACTGGAATCGCCACTGTGAACCCAAAGCATGGCGTGTTGGACTTGGATCTCTTTGTTTGGCTGAGCCACCAAGTATTAAATTTGAATTTGAATCCGAAAACTATCAGAAACCACCATACATGCAGATGCAGTGGCTAGATCAAAAGGTAGCTGATGGAAAATCAGTTCTTTACGTAGCATTTGGGTCTTATTCTCGTGCATAAATTTCAACTGACCATTTCCGACAGATCAAAATCGGATTGGAAAAATGAGAAGTTAATTTTTTGAGGGTTGTGTTGTGAGAAGAAATGAATCAGAACTTGACGACGGGTTTGAAGAGAGAGTGAAAAAAAGAGGAATTCTAATGAGAGATTGGGTTGATCAGAGGGAGGTTCTTGGGCATCAAAGCGATCAAGTGTTTCTGAGTCACTGTGGTTGGAACTCCGTGATAGAGAACAAATGTGCAAAGGTTCAGATACTGGCTTGGCCGATGATGGCGGAGCAACCACTCAATGCTCGGATGGTGATGGAGGAGATCAAGATTGGTCTAAGGGTAGAGATATCCAATGAATCTGTGAAAGGGTTTGTGAAGTGAGATGGTTTGGAGAAGATGGTGAGAGAATTAATGGAGGGAAAGATGGGGAAGGAGGGGAAGGAAATAGGTGAGGCGGCCATTAAGCTGTAGACGAAGGTGGGTCATCGTGAAATACGATAAATGAGCTCCGATGATACCAAAAATTATCCAAGGTTAATCTTGGATTAGAGGCAGCTCGAAGTCATGCCGGGATTCACATGATGATGTCAAAATTTGGATTTCAGTTCGAGACAATTAAGGTCAGATGAATGAATTGAGCTCTCAATCCCTATTTACCCAGCTCGTGACTACAGCTGGTTGGGAGTCAGCACCAACATGACCTTCATGCATATTATGACAGCGACAACTTGCACATTATAAAAAGTCACGTCACACTTAAAGAATATAATATCTAACGATCAAATATTCTATCACATAGATCGCAACGATTCTAAGATAGTCACGCTATTTATGTAATGGTCATGTACCTGCTCACTATAAATAGGGATCACCTTTCACATGGTAAATGATCTAATATCTGTAATCAACTCTCAAGAGTATTGTAATCGTCCTCCTGAAAATTTCATTAAAATGGACTAGTGAAACATCCAAGCTGCTGAACTACTAGAAATCTACTGCCTATCAGTTTCCATTCTCTGTTACTGTTTCTGTGTTTGATTGATTGTCATCGAAATCTAGAAACTCTTATTGGATATTCCAATGTACTCCAATAAAATCCCTTCCGAATCTCCAATTCATTTCCCTCTCTTTAAGCCCCGAACTCAACCACTTAACTACATAGATTCCACCATCAAGCTCATTGATCAGTTGAATGCAAAAAGACACCCATGAAATCAAAGTGTTTTTGTTTAATACAGCTCTGGTAACTGTTGAGATCCACCTGCATTGACTTTTTTCATTGGATTTTTAATGCACTTTTTTTGTAGAAATAGTCTTTCTGTCACTGCAAGAAAATTGTTGTTAGCCGGCACTTCAGAAAAACGCCGAAAAATATCGTTAATGAAACGTGGACTGCCTTACGTCACCAGCGTTTCATATCAAACACTACAAAATAATTTTACAATAATTTACCAAAACCACATAGAATGCTCCACGCCTCTAAGAGCTATCAAGCTCTCCCAAAAAAAATGATGGTCAAGGCTCTGCAGCCTCTGGGGAGCTACTAAGGGGGAAAAAAACACATTGCTAGTCCTAGTTACCAGCCATACTAAACTTACATACCAATCACACTAAAACATACCATACTAAACTTACACACATACGTGTGTCATAAAGTTGTAGCGACGTTACAACCAACCAAGTTACCAACATAAGTTCAACCTTAGGCATTACAACTGCTTCAGAAAAGATATGGAAACTAGAAACACCATTCTTTCTATAGGCATAAGCCTAAATGCTATTTACTTTTTCTGAACTCAGCTGGCAGGACCACAGATTCAAAGATATTGGCCTGCTAGTTTCCCTTCCTTGACAATGTAATTTTCTCTAGGAAATTCTTCTTCCTTGAAGTACCTTTCCAGCATGTCTTTAACTCCGGCTGCATACCGCAACTAGACCATTTTCAATTGTAAGAGATGCAGTAAGGAATTGGAACGAAGGAAGAAGAAGAAGAAGAAAAAATGAAAGAAAATGGAGAATTCTAAGCGATTCAATACCTGTGCATCAATGGTAGTGCCGGAAACATGAGGTGTCATAGCGTGGTTTGGCATGTACCGCCATGGATGCTGGTTGTGGATCCCAAACATCCCCACCATAACCTAAGATCAGGGTGTCAACAAGAGCAATGGTTTTAAAAGTTGGAGAATGAACAAAACCATTCTTTTGGACCATCTGTCCTTGAATAGCTTAGCTCAATAGAGTTCATCTTTTTGTTTTTCAAAAGATACTTAGTTTTGTTGCTTTTGAGACCCATGATTTTTTTTTTCCAGAAAAAGGGACCCAAAACTAGTTTAGGTGGCCTACCAAAACCAATTACCCAAAAAAAAAACAAAGTATTATTGTTTTATGTCACCTGCCAAGTTGTCTACAAGCTGATCGTTTATCTAAAATTCAAATACATGAATTTCAAATGTTCAAAGCTACCTGCTATTTGTCCACTGGAACAAGCATCAACAACTGCCTGTGTATCCATGATGGCTGCTCTTGCATTGTTAACAATTAATACCCCTTTCTTACACTTAGCAATCCTTTCTGTGTCAAACATCCCTCTGGATCAAAAAATAACAATTCTGATAAGGTGGCTTGCAATAGTAACTGTTGAAGATATGGTAAGATCCCGTGAATCACGGGATCAAATACTATTCATGAGATCTCATATCTTCAACAGTAGCATGTTGACTAAAGCATAAAAGAACTACAACAATGATCAGAATTGTTCAAGATAAATTCAAACAGTATAACGGATATGAAGCCCCTACAATGATATCCAAGTAGTTCTTACTTTGTTTTTTCTGTAAGAGGCATGTTGATGGCAATTATGTCACATTTGGGAAGCATTGCATCAAGATCCTCCTCAAACTTAGCCCCAGTTTGATTCGCTAATTCAGAGTCCATCATGACACGATCATGGTAAAGCAAATCACAATTGAAAGGCTTCAACCTTTGGAGTAAAAGCTTGCCAATTCGCCCAGCTCCAACAGTTCCAACTGTCTTGCCTTCAAGATCATAAGCTCTGTATGCAATAGCTCCAATATTCTATTCCCCATTGATAATCTGATGGTACCCAGGCAAGAAATTCCGAACAAGAGTGAGGATCCTCATGAGTTCGTCTTCTGCAACTGAAACTACGTTACTTCCAGTGACCTCTGCGACTGCAGCAGCCACAGCCTTTAGATCAATATGATCTGAGCCTACTCCCGCTGTGAGCAACAATTCCATATTTTTTGCCCTCTTGATCCGTTCAGCCGTAACATAGGCTGAATGAAAAGGGGTCGTTATGAGGACATGGAGATCCGGGATATGTTTCTCGAGTTCTACAAATGAGGAATCACACAATTAGAAAATTGGTAATATCTTCGACTAATCTCAGCTTCAACAATGGACATTATGATTGTTTTAATACAGACTGACACTATAATAAAACATCCTGAGGCACTACTACTAGCAAATTCCCAGACCAACAACATACGGGAGGGATAAAACCCTGAATCCACCACGTGATTATTTGTGAATCAATCATAGTGGGTATGGGAGAAAATGTACGTAATTATTATATGTTTGTGAAACTATCATTCCCCATTTCAATGACAATAGAAACAAGTGAAGACTCAATGGTCATGTTAAAATAGAAATATGCATTTTTGGGTAAATCAACTGGATTTTATTCATAGGAAATATGGTCTTACAAGGGAGCGGGCGATATGGAAAGGAACCCTTCACTGAAAATGCAAAAGAAACAAAACAGTTTGCAAACATCAAGCTAAATTGAGGAGACAGAAAGAGAAGTACCAGTAAACCAAGTACTGATCTATCATATACAGGACCGAAGTCACAGAACACTTCTCAAAGGATTCACACTCAAAGAGTTGAGCAACTTGCCAATAAACTTCAGCTTTGAACAACCTGATAACAGATCACAGGGCGAGCCGTAATCCCAAATATCCTAAATTTGAATCTTGATAAATTTTAGACTCTTGATTTAAGAATTTATCATTCATGAATACCCTAATCCCGACGTAAATAACTTATCTTTGAGTCATTTATAAATTCAGACGTGTTAAATTCAAATTTTAATAATCCTTGGACTCATGGTCTAAAAATTTATCTTTTATGAATATCTTAACCCCTCTCATAAATAACTAGTTCTGTCACTGATAATTTTTCTTTGACTTGTAAATTATCCCGAACACCCCCACGACCATTGAACCAAAAAAAACAGAATAGCAACAGCAGAGGATTGAAATTAACTCGCAAAATTTAAAAAATTGGGGTGATATCACGGGGTTGAGTTCCAAGATGTCCCATTGAAGGCTACAAAACCACCGAATAATACAAGACAAACCTATGAAAAACACCAAAGAAGTGATGAATTGCCACGTTCTTGTATGACAAACCTCACTTTTGTCATGTATTGTGCGAACGAAGTCACTCCACCTCTTCCTTCGGTGTATATCACCAACAACTAAACTAATATTACGCATTGCAAAATTAAATCTGCAACCCGCCATTGTTAAAAATCCGAAGATGCAGATTTACATAATCCGATTATCACGAACTCGCATGGCTCTGACGAGGAGGAAGATTTGCAAATTTGGGAATGCGATATCCAAACACAAAGTTAAATTTAATCAAAGAAGGTTAAATTAGAGAAAACAATCACTCAAATTGATTTCGATTAACTCTTATGATTGTATACCTAGATAATCATGTGCTTAAACGAAGGGATGATGAAGGAGCTTACCTGCATTGCATTATCTACAATAGTAAAGTTTTAAGGTAACAATGAAATGGTACAAAATTATGTTTTCTCAAATAATTTTGATAATGCATATGATTCTTTAAAACTATAATAAGATTGTAAGAAATCCGACCAAAAAGTTGTAAGAAAATTATGTTTTCTTAAATAATTTTGATAATGCATATGCTTCTTTAAAACTATTAGTCGATGATCACATGCGTTGCACGTGGATCATTTTGAATATTAAATATTACATGTTAGTTTTGTAAATATTATGAAATAATATCAACCACGACACTAGTACCTACAAGAATTGATTGCATAATGAAGTCTTTAGTGTAAGATGCTACAAGTAATTTGCACATAACAAACTTCTAAAATGATCCAAGTTACATGTAAGAAGGAAGACAAAAATTATATCAAGAAATGAAATAATTAATGATATATACAGTCAAAAAATTAGAAATAGGAACTTAAATGTTGGATCCTTCTAATGTTGTTTATTAAAATTTCTAAAATAGTAAAAACTCGAGAGATTCTTCATTTTATGTTGATTGTCCAACAAGATTTTCATAGTTTTTCATTTGACTTTCTGTTACAAATATATATTGTCATATAGAAAATAACAAAACACACATATTTAAGACATCTGTTAAAAACCGTTTTTTGAGGAAAAAAATAAATAGCGCCTCTAAAAACATTACTTTTCAAGATTTAAATACAACACATGACATCACAATAAGAGCTTTTATTCAAAAAAAAAAAACTTACTGAGAGACCAACAGATGAAACAAACCAAATATGTTATAGAGTTCAAGAATAATTTGCATACATGATAATTGGAAAGGGAGGAGGTCTATGACTGCGACTGTTTGACATATCAAAGATTGACAATCGTCAAAAAGGGCCCAAAATTTGCTCATAGAACATTAGGCAAATATTTATTATTAGAATTTAGACAGTCTAGATGTTTGTTCAGAATGTGGATTTTTGCCTTTACCTATCAGCTATTGGTAGAAGCACTAAGAATATGAAAATTTTGAAATGGTTATTGGATATATGTAGTGTAAACTAAATACAATAGTTATCTTAATAAATGACAGAACTAATATTGAATAATAATTAGGAGTAAACAAGAAAAACGAAAGTTTTCATGATTGGTATATATAAATATAATTAATTTTATGTTAGAGGAGATCAAAAGACAAGAAAAATATAATGAACATTAAACTTAAATGAGTAAATAGGTTATCGGTTTTGTGTATAACCATCTATGAAAGTAACGTGAATATAAGAAGTCTTAAATAATTAACCAATATATTTATGTGCAATTGAATTCTAGTAGTTATTTGATGAAAGATAAAATGGTTATTAAACATTAGTCAAGGGTAAAGAGAGAAAATAAAAGTTTTTTTTGTTTAAGTTACTTTTATAATAGTAGAGATAATAAGATTGTAAGAAATTCGAGAAAAAAGTTGGAATCAAACATGATGGTGTGTGCAACACAGGGAGCTCAAGCGAGCTGTTTGAGGATTACCGGAGTATCCAATCATAGCTTCTAGGCTCTTGGAGGTTAGGTTGTTGATTCAATCAGACAAAAAATAAATGGATAGAAAGTTCATAATGGTTTACTAATTCGAAAATTTGGTTAGTTCACTCTAATGAAATCTCTTACTCTTAGGGAGTTTTTGATTAATCAAGGAAAAGAGATTACAGAAAATAGATATACAGGTGATTGCTTAATTACAATGCGAGAAATTTATTCCCTATTTACACTGTACAGTAGTCTTGCGTGATCTTTGCGATCCCTCTATAACCGATGTCATCCAAGCGCGATCAAAGTGATTCCCTTTGATGCGATTACAACTCACGTACTAAAATATTTGATTATTACAAGTTACATTCTCTAGTTGTGATGTGACTTTCTAGAGCATGTCAATTATAGTTCTCATTGCGTGCACGGGAATTTCATTACTAAAAGATTCCCGAATTGTGCACCTCGACCTCAATGGTCATGAGCTGCATGTCCGAGCTTAGATGCTGGGGCTAGATAGTCTAAACTTAACCTTGACTAATTTTGAATATCATCAAAACTAATTAATGTGGTATGTTTAAGTTATACCGAAGATATACAATTCATTTGATGATTGTTTTGTCATGATAACAACATATGAGTTAATAGAGTGGAAGTACTCAAAGCCATTATTAATTATCTTACTTATCCTCGCAGTGACATTTTGCTTCTATCAAACGTAGAGAAAAATAATATCTATTAAACACTGATCAAACTCCCATATATAAACACACATACCCATGAATTTTTATAATACAAAATTTACATTATTGTTGGTTTTAGGAAAATAATAATAGTAATTGGAATGAACAAGTTAAACAGGACAAGCAAGCTCAAGTCGGTCGTGTCATTGTCTCTAAAGTTAATTTGATGACTTTATCAATAGCGATGTATCACTTGCGTTGCATATAAATTTTTTTGTTGAAATATTTGANAACTAAATACAATAGTTATCTTAATAAATGACAGAACTAATATTGAATAATAATTAGGAGTAAACAAGAAAAACGAAAGTTTTCATGATTGGTATATATAAATATAATTAATTTTATGTTAGAGGAGATCAAAAGACAAGAAAAATATAATGAACATTAAACTTAAATGAGTAAATAGGTTATCGGTTTTGTGTATAACCATCTATGAAAGTAACGTGAATATAAGAAGTCTTAAATAATTAACCAATATATTTATGTGCAATTGAATTCTAGTAGTTATTTGATGAAAGATAAAATGGTTATTAAACATTAGTCAAGGGTAAAGAGAGAAAATAAAAGTTTTTTTTGTTTAAGTTACTTTTATAATAGTAGAGATAATAAGATTGTAAGAAATTCGAGAAAAAAGTTGGAATCAAACATGATGGTGTGTGCAACACAGGGAGCTCAAGCGAGCTGTTTGAGGATTACCGGAGTATCCAATCATAGCTTCTAGGCTCTTGGAGGTTAGGTTGTTGATTCAATCAGACAAAAAATAAATGGATAGAAAGTTCATAATGGTTTACTAATTCGAAAATTTGGTTAGTTCACTCTAATGAAATCTCTTACTCTTAGGGAGTTTTTGATTAATCAAGGAAAAGAGATTACAGAAAATAGATATACAGGTGATTGCTTAATTACAATGCGAGAAATTTATTCCCTATTTACACTGTACAGTAGTCTTGCGTGATCTTTGCGATCCCTCTATAACCGATGTCATCCAAGCGCGATCAAAGTGATTCCCTTTGATGCGATTACAACTCACGTACTAAAATATTTGATTATTACAAGTTACATTCTCTAGTTGTGATGTGACTTTCTAGAGCATGTCAATTATAGTTCTCATTGCGTGCACGGGAATTTCATTACTAAAAGATTCCCGAATTGTGCACCTCGACCTCAATGGTCATGAGCTGCATGTCCGAGCTTAGATGCTGGGGCTAGATAGTCTAAACTTAACCTTGACTAATTTTGAATATCATCAAAACTAATTAATGTGGTATGTTTAAGTTATACCGAAGATATACAATTCATTTGATGATTGTTTTGTCATGATAACAACATATGAGTTAATAGAGTGGAAGTACTCAAAGCCATTATTAATTATCTTACTTATCCTCGCAGTGACATTTTGCTTCTATCAAACGTAGAGAAAAATAATATCTATTAAACACTGATCAAACTCCCATATATAAACACACATACCCATGAATTTTTATAATACAAAATTTACATTATTGTTGGTTTTAGGAAAATAATAATAGTAATTGGAATGAACAAGTTAAACAGGACAAGCAAGCTCAAGTCGGTCGTGTCATTGTGTCTAAAGTTAATTTGATGACTTTATCAATAGCGATGTATCACTTGCGTTGCATATAAATTTTTTTGTTGAAATATTTGAAAAAATATATTAAAAAAAAATTAATAATGTAGCTAAATTAAATATTTTATCATATTTATCATACCTAAATTGTTTATATTCTCTTTATAACTATAAATATCCAATAGACTCATTTTCTGCGATTCTTTTATTTGAGTTACCAAGTACTAAGAGTTATAAATTTTTCTTTTCCCGATTTTTTTTTTTTTTGTCTTTATTGTTTTTCCTTTGCGTTTCAATAGTTTTTTTACNTAAGAGTTATAAATTTTTCTTTTCCCGATTTTTTTTTTTTTTGTCTTTATTGTTTTTCCTTTGCGTTTCAATAGTTTTTTTACTGAATTATTTTTATTGTGAATGAAGAGAAAATCTATATATTTTTGGGCATTGAATATAATATTGTATTAATAGAGCTGTCGACGACTTGACGTGCATTAATATTGGGGTTTTGAAAAAATATTTTTTTTTATATAATGTTAAGTATAACATGTCTATTCAAAAATTTTGTAAAGATCAAAAAATTTATATGAGTTATTAAAAAATTGTTTGTTATTTAAATAAATAAAGATATAATGATAATTTGTATATTTAAATAAAAAAGGATATGTTAGATATTTTATATTTTTTTATAAGGGTAAAATAATAAATTAATTTTTTTTGCTAAGGTAGTTTTATTAGTAATATAGATTTGTACCAATTAATCATTTTATTTTTGAGTTTTGTATTGTGTCAAATTCACGTTTATGGATAAAATTGACATTTAATTTCAACCAACGAATCTTTAGATTAATGATACTATTTGTCTTGTAAAAATATTATCTTATTAAGATAAAGAGTTTAAGTTTCTTAGNAAATTCACGTTTATGGATAAAATTGACATTTAATTTCAACCAACGAGTCTTTAGATTAATGATACTATTTGTCTTGTAAAAATATTATCTTATTAAGATAAAGAGTTTAAGTTTCTTAGGCGATAAAAGCGCAATTAGTTGGTAGGATGAACTTAAGTTATTTAGACGAACCGCATTTAAGTCTTTGGTGTGACTTCGACTTTNAGGCGATAAAAGCGCAATTAGTTGGTAGGATGAACTTAAGTTATTTAGACGAACCGTATTTAAGTCTTTGGTGTGACTTCGACTTTTGTTTGAGTCGAACAACAAGTTTATGCACTTTTAATTTGTTTTCGATTTTACTCAAACTTACAAATTTGAACAACATAACTCAAACTCACTAGTTTGATTCGAACCATTGGTGGACCACGCGCAGGCCTTGTATTTGTCCTTTGGCTTTTAGCCCTGTTACAAGATAGGAATTTCGCGCCGCTCTTTCCCCACCCTCTTTGAAACCTACTAGTAGTAGGCGACTACGCTTGAAAAAGTAGAAAAGCGAGCGAGCTAGTGGAAACGCAAGATCGGACGACGTCTTCGTGAGTGAATCGGTGATTGAAATGGAGTCGCCGAGGGTTTCGAAACCCACGGTGACTCAAGAAGAGCAATCTCAGGTGGAGGCTCAGGTTTCTAAGTTATACCAAGTGTTCTACTCCGTAACTCCCAAATGCCAATCCGTCATGTACGATATCAAGATCCATTGAAAATTATGGTTTCATGTATCGATCATATATAACTAATTCTTTCGGTTCAATTCTATCAGTTTTTCCGTTATCTTAATCCTTCATGTTTCTTTGTTCATTCCTGATTGATCTTTTGTTGATTTAATGTGTTTAAAGGTTGGAGGTTCAACGTGATAATCATATGAAGTATCTCACCAAAGGTCTCCGCAACCTCGGTAGCAAGTTTGCCGTCTTGGATGCTAAGTACTCTCTCTCTCTCTATACCCTCTCCTTTCTGTCTTGATATTGTCCTGAACGTTGGTTAATTTCAGCCGACCTTGGCTTTGCTACTGGATCATTCACTCAATAGCTTTATTGGGAGAGTCGGTTGAAGCTGAAGTGGAAAACGATGCTATTGACTTCCTAAATCGTTGCCAGGTTTGCAATCTGAAGAATTTTAGATTATCTATACGCCTTCTGGTTTTTGTTTGAATTATTTATGTGCCTGAAGAATTTTAGATTATTTTTCCTGTTATTCTTTGCTAATGGCAAACTGAAATTATATTGTATATTTATTAAGAGTCCTCTTTATTTGAATTTAGAACTATGAAGGCTACGTAGAAATAATTATAACGTTTAGGGCCAGATATTCCAAATTGGTCCAGATGATATTTGCTAGTGATTAGGAGACCCTAATTAGCTTTTCATTACTTAGCCATACACCCTTTTGTTCAAAGATAACCCTAATGCTTGTGGAAAAGAGTTTGATCAATGTGAAAGTTGAGTTTGGTATAACTTTAATTATTATCTTACTTTAGTTGAAATATATGGTGCTAATCGTTCTCTTTTGGGCAGTGGGAAGGCTTTATATGAATTCATTGATTTCACATTTGTTTTTTTTTATTTGCAGGATCCAAACGGTGGATATGGTGGCGGACCTGGACAGGCAAGTTAATTTTGTGAGTTAGGATAATACGAGCAGTTTGATCTTGTGAGCTAGCAGTTTGGAAGAGCTGAACAGAATAATGTTTCATTATTTGAAATTTTTTTTTGTATTCTTCCCCTACTGCAGGACTTTCTTATTCTCTTTCACTTTATAAAATTAACTATTATTTATAGCATTTTGGAAGTCTTCTTTTAAGAAAAGGACAAAGTTGGATGTCACACAGCCTGGTTTTGAACTGTTGCAATCCTGATGAACCTAAGTGGTAATAGTGCTATGGGATGGAGACATGGATTAATTCTGGCTTCCATCCTTTTAGTGGTGCCCGAGATTGCTTCTGACATTGGTGCTATAACTGTTCTTGGTTTCTTAGATGTCACAAATCATAAATTAGATCAATTTTGTTTTACTTGTAGAAGACACTTACACTTGCTATTATGGAGAGTTCATATTCTGTTAACATTGTCCAACTAATGTGTAGCAGATCGGTCTTGTATAATACTGAATTGATTCTCTTTTAATGGACTAACATTTTGACAGCTTTTCCTCAGATGCCTCATCTTGCAACTACCTATGCTGCAGTCAACTCACTTTTAACATTGGGTGGCAATAAATCCTTATCATCAATTAACCGGTAATCAGTTCATAAGATGTTGTACTAATGACTAGTTTCAAATTGTTCATGATTGTGCTCTTGCAAGCAATCTGACATGGATTGTTAACTTTTTTGCCAGAGTAAAATTATACACCTTTTTGCTGCGAATGAAAGACACAAGTGGGGGCTTCAGGTGTGGCATCACACATTTTCTTTTTAAACAATATCAAAATGTGTTTCACATGAAAATTGCATGGATTCAGCATCTCTGTATATTTGCTTGATTATCATGAGGCTTGAAGTGTGATCTGTGTTTGTGTGTTGATTATATCTGTTAGCTTATTTATATGTGTATGCATATAGTTGTAAGAGAATTGCTAACCTTATCATCTTGCCTTGATTTTGATTAGATAGATGTATCCCTCACGGCCTTTTCCGTTTTCTTATCTCTTCTTTTTCTTTTGTTGTTCTATGTTTTTCTTTCTCTTTTGGTTTTTGTGTGTGGGTGTGTTGGGTTATTTTTTTTTTTTTTTTTTTTTTTTGGGGGGGGGGGGNCCTTTTTGCTGCGAATGAAAGACACAAGTGGGGGCTTCAGGTGTGGCATCACACATTTTCTTTTTAAACAATATCAAAATGTGTTTCACATGAAAATTGCATGGATTCAGCATCTCTGTATATTTGCTTGATTATCATGAGGCTTGAAGTGTGATCTGTGTTTGTGTGTTGATTATATCTGTTAGCTTATTTATATGTGTATGCATATAGTTGTAAGAGAATTGCTAACCTTATCATCTTGCCTTGATTTTGATTAGATAGATGTATCCCTCACGGCCTTTTCCGTTTTCTTATCTCTTCTTTTTCTTTTGTTGTTCTATGTTTTTCTTTCTCTTTTGGTTTTTGTGTGTGGGTGTGTTGGGTTTTTTTGTTTTTTTTTTTTTTTTTTTTGGGGGGGGGGGGTTTGGATCTTTAAGATTGTCTATGTTTTAAATGGGCTTTACCTGTCATGCATGTGGCTGTGAGGCTGGATTGACCTGGATTTAAATCAGCAGTAATAGCCTCAAACAATACGATCTAGTGAAAAAGATAATGGAGTTTTGCTTTATCTCCATTTCACTTTTGTTCTCATTATTTTACTGAGGATGGTATAAGATATGTTAATGAGTTTTGCCATGCAAATTAGTTGACTTCTATAAGCCTAAGCTTCTTCATTCAGAGATTATGACTTTCATGATGGGCAATGATACTGGAAGAATTTTACTGGAGTTTCTGAGCTGATTCAGCCGAAGGGTTTTTAAGTTCAATAAGGCTGAGTTTTTTGTCTTACTTTTTCTTGTAGTCTCCTCTGAAAGTCCCCTTTCTGGGGTAACACCAATAATAAAAGGATACATGATGAGCTACAAATGTGAGTAGATACAAAGGATCGCACTGACCATTGTTCAATCAAAGCATGACTATGGAAATAGTGAGATTGGAAGCAGGGCTGCAAATGAGAAAGTGAAAGGATGGAAGAAATCTGTTAGATAACCTAGGGTCCTAGAAGAGGTTCGCTTGGATGCCGTTGGAGGTATCTCATATTGATTTTCTGCATGGGAGAATTATAGAGAAAAACACAAATTTCGATGCCATGGCTAGCTTAGAATTTTACAAAAGAAAATTGCTTGAGCTTTTTCAGAAGGTATTAAGACTCTAGGTTGGTCTTTCAACCATGTTGGAGTTCATTCGGATTTCTGGTATAACTTATGAAGAAACAAATACCACCTTGCATTTTGTAGTCATTCTGCACTTGAACTCTAAGACTGTTGACTAGAGTTGAATATAGTAAGAGCACTAGTAAAATATCAAGAAGAGATTGAGCACTTTTTTTATGACTTTAATTTCTTGCAGGATGCATGACGGTGGAGAATTGGATGTCCGTGCTTGCTACACTGCCATTTCTGTATGTATACTCTCTCTCTCTCTCTCACACACACACACACACACACACGCACACACACTCACACTCATATCATGTATGTGAGCTTGCATGCAGAGTTTGAGGGTGGTTTTAATGATACCTATAGTGAGAATATGGGATCAAGTGAGTAGGGGATTTGGAAATGGGATCACCTTTTATTCATTTTACTTGTGTGTGTATATCGTGAGCTTTGAAGATAGATAGAGGCCATGGATAGAATATTTTGACTATAAGGTTGATTTTTTATTTTTTCCCCATACTAGGAGGTGGGGAGTTGAGGAATAAACACATGATAAGGGCCCTGTCAAAACATATGTAAAAAGAATTGCTTTTCCAGGATGTAGAAATTAGCCTTTATGTACACCTTGGAAATTGGCAAAAATGGTGTAACAACAATTCTAAGAAACTACTCAGGGATAGGGACAATGATTTTAAAAATTCCCCAGTTATCGAGTTATTGTTCTCGAACCATCATAGAGGTTGAAAATTTCCTAAACTAGTTGGACAGTTTATGGAAGACATAAGTTATAATATCTGGTGTCTTTATTTCCTTTTGCTCCTGATGTAATCCTCATTTAATGAGGAGAGAATTTGAATAAGAGGGGTTTCTAAACTTTCAGTGAAAGAAATGATTTATTCCAAAATTTGAAAACCAGCAACACTCATGTATCCTTCTTAAAGAAGCCTGTAAAGTTCCTCTAGATTGAACAACTGCACTCGTGTGGAAAGTGCCCTCCACTTCTTACTTGTAACCAAAGAGTTCCATGGGAAAACAAAACAGCATTCATCATTGTTTTTGCATTCACCATTTTACATTACTTGTACATGCTTTCAGGACACTTCCAATAGTTATGCTGTTCAACTAGTTGCTCTATTGAATTAAATAACTTTTCAAATCTAATACAAGCCAGAAATCACACGACATAGATGAATGGAATAATCTGCATTTCCTGATGTCTCCAATCTTCTTTGTCCAACCAGGTTGCAAGTGTTCTGAACATTTTGGATGACGAGCTGTTTCAAAATGTTGGAAATTACATCCTAAGGTTGGTCTCAAGCAGCTATTTCTTCCCATTTTGCTGTTGGCCCCAGCCGAGTACTCTGTTTTATGTTAATTATGTCTGCCATTGGTTTACTCGTGCCAAATTTCGTTTTTGTAGTACAAATCTTACCTGCTTAGTCTTTAATAGTTAGTTTCATGGATGAATCACAAGATGTTTATAAATGTTCGGAACATCATTTTAGTGGTATAGTACACTTGGAATAAACGTAAGTGAAAAGGGATACTCAAATTAAGAGTAGAGCCCCGTATATATATCCAAAAATAATACAGAGTGACTTAAACATCCTTGTAGTTTAGGCAAAATATAAAAATCTTAGTAAGGGTAAAAAAGGGAAAAGAAATCCTAATAAACCTAGACTATCTATACTCCAACACTCCCCCTCAAGCTAGGCGCAAAAATGTCAACTAAGCCAAGCTTGACAACGGAGTCCCGAAGAATAGACAGAGTGACAGGTTTGGTAAAAACATCCGCAACTTGATCACTGGTCCCCACAAACGATGGAGTAACAAGACCACTGCTGACCTTCTCCCGAAGAAAGTGAACATCGATCTCTATAT